GGGGGGGGGGGTTCAAAAATCGTTCTCTCGGAGAGACCCGAAATGTAATCGACAGATTTTAGAAATGTGGATTTTCTGAAAATTGAAAACCCTTTTAAGATTCAATTTCAAAGATTTTTATATCTTCCTATTTTAGAACTTTAAAATGAATTATCATCCAGGGTTTGAAATGGGCTTCAATCCACACTTCCCACCATATCCTGTATATCATAGTAATCTTAAACGACCGTAAGTAAAATTTTTTACCTCAAATGTAATATAAACATGGTACCTAGAGGTACAAACCATAGGTCGTATCTGTCTATCTACACTGCTTTGGTAGAGAATAAATTAACATTGTGTGACTACGGTTTTACCTATGGTAGCATGACTAAGAAATTGGACAAGAGTAAAATGAAATCTATACTTTTTGAGTAAAACTTCAAATAAGTTTCAAATTACATTTTTGTTAAGAATTTAAAATATTTAATTTCTTTGTGGTTTATTTAGTTCACAAATTGAACTTCGATATGACAAATGATGGACATATTTGTTTCTTAATTTTTGAGTACAATTCATATTCTCTTAAATTTATCTTGATATACGAGAGAAAGGCAAAAGCCAGGGACTTCTTCAGGTTTGATTACAAATAAAATGTTATTCAACACAATGCATCTCGGGCTGAGCTTTGTTTACATTACTCCCAGAAACTGTCATACAGTACACAAGTTCACATTATTTAAAAGAAGTTTCTATTTTGATTATATTTTCAGAAACTGCGGTACACTTTACTTGGAAAAAGTGCCTAGAATCCGGATCCGTTACAGAGCCGCAACATATTTTGGCTTGCTGGATCCGGATCCCCTAAAATATTCGGACAAATATTGAAGAAATAGCATTGATCCATTTTTTTCAGTGCGGATCCAGATTCCGGATCCGCATCAAAATGAGATGGATTCTAAGCACTGCGTGTAAACAAAACTAAGAGTTCCTTAGTGTATATTACTTGTACGAGATAAATTGTAATTTTTCTAGGTTTGATACAGTTCAGAATCCCTATGAAGACACAAATTGGAAACGAAGGTTTAATTTATAACTTTATTTGATATATAATAATATAATAGCTGAGATATGCTCCTTCTCATTCCATTCTCATCTGAATTCTTAGACTTCTCTCATCAGAGTTAGTTAAAAATGTTGGAGAAGTGTTGTAAACCTTTTAACCGTTTCTTTAAAATATTTTAATATCACAGTATGCAAGGCTCAAAATAATTTGGTGGTTTTATAAATTTTGGGGAAATAATTGAATAGATAAATACATATCTGCAACTTGGAAGTTCCATTTTAAGGGCCCCCTCTATAGCTTCGAATTTTTGAAATTATATTCACTGCCTTAAACAGAAAATCTTTATTCAGCGCTTTAACTATGTCAATTGTAGAAATATAGTTTAAAATCCGAATATCCAAAAACGTTATTAAATTCTTATTTTATTCTAGAAGGGAAGAACCTGACCTTGAAAATGAAGAGGATGAAGGATTAACATTTACCATAGATCATCAGTTTACATACTGGAATCTACCAGTTAAAGCCAGAGTTCTCCTCGTTTCTAATTTACCTGAGGTACATCAGAAATATAATTATCAGGGGTAAATATTAATCTGAAATTTATCTCACCTATTCCCCATTCTGAAAACAAAATGGTTTTCAAAAATGTAGGAAAGTTTTTGGTGTTACAAAAAAGGTTTTCTTGTAACGTTTTAAATAAAATCTTTTTTAAAAGAGATTTTTTGTCCCCAGGACATGATCGGGTTGTTACGATCAAATCTCGGAATTTTTTCTATTGCGAAAGTTTGGTGTTGTCTGGGTTTATATTGATCTACCAGCACATTCATCCATCCATGCTTCATTCATATTGAGAAGAGGGTTGACAAGATTCCAGCTGCCTAAGATTCTTCTTAGACCTGAGAATATACAGTGCAGGAAACCTTCTGATATACTGGAATGAGGCCCGGGTGCCATACTGATAGGAAACATCACACTCATTGCTCCCTAACATCTGTATGCCCGGATTGGATACCCCCAGGTACCTATAGCTGGCAACCATAGACTCTCCCTGCTTGTCCACCATTCCTCTCTTCATCATTATTCACTTGGATCAATCCACTTAAAGCTTCTTTCTTGTTGAGTAGAAAGCACGCACCCTTTCGCTGCGAGAGTTGTTGACAGCCGCCCATCTGTCCTACATCCGTCAGGTGGTCATAAAGTGCTTAACCAGATGTCGGCTTCAGATGTGTTTGAAACCAGAGGTTTGTGTGGAATACGGGAATCGAACCCAAGAACACCAGTCTGGACACCAATCCAGTTACTGGCTGTGGACAAGTGTGCTTAACTTCAGTGATCTAACGAGAACTTGTGTCACACACTCTCCAGTCTCCACCCCACAGTGTTATATGACAAATGTTGTTAAAATTTTCCATCCCACCAGGGCAGGGGGAATCATTTTCAATGGTTTTTTTTGTGGAGTGGTGGAAATAAAAATTAGATTTTAGAAAAAATTAAATGAAAGCTAAGAAGAAATACATTATTTAGGAAAATATATTTTCCTGGTCAAAAAATAGGACCTGACTAAACAAGAAAATTGAGAAGTTTCGTCTTCATTATTATATTTCTTCAATGTTTAGGAATTGAATACCCCGGAGAGAATATTCAGCTTGTTCTCTCTGTACGGAGATGTGGACAGGGTCAAGGTTATCCGGCGGAAGGTTGCATGCGCCCTGGTGGAGTTCAATACGGCAACATTTGCCGCTATCGCCCGGGACTACCTGGACAATTATATTTTCAAAGGGCAGAAGATTGTTGTTTCGTTTAGCAGGTACGAAGAAAAACTTTTTAATAATTAATGCTTTAGAAAAAATGGCAAATTGGAATAGCCGAAACTTCAAACAATGTTTTAAAACGTCTCTATTCTCTTATTTTGTGCTTTAAAATATTGATTTGCTAACCCATTAGTGACATGAGTGTCGTTTTCGGCGCATAAATTAAACCCCTGACTGACTATCTCGCTATCTATTCTAGACCTTTCATATTTTTCTCTGCAAAAGAATACAGCTTCAAATTTTGTCTGCCAAGCCCAGATGGCACCTGGATCAATATTTTTTCCCATAGGAATTTCAACCCACGCTTTTAACTATTGATCAAAACTTATGTAAAATAAAATATAACATTTGTTATATATTTTTTGTTTCTGCCAAGTTTTGTTTTATTTCTATTTTTCCATATATTTTTTGGACAAAATTAATCTATTATGGCACACATATTTAAACTGCTGCCAATTTCGCACTGTAAACTGCATACTGCACATTTCAAACTGCACGATGAATGCCTCACACTTGAGACTGCACAATGCAGTGCACACTTATGCTGCCAATTTCACACTGTAAACTGTAAACTGTACACTGCACACTGCACATTTCAAACTGTACAATGAATGCTGCAAACTTCACACTGTACACTGCAAACTAGACACTTGACATTGCACAATGCAGTGCACACTGTACACTGTATGCTGCACACTGTACACGGTATGCTGTACACTGTATGCCGCACACTTCACACTCTAAACTGTACACTGATCACTGCACACTGCATACTCCATACTGCGTACTGCACACTGTATATTGTACACTTTACACTGCAAACTGAGTACGGCAAATGTACACTTCTACACTTCAAAGAGCAAACTGTGCACTGTACACTGCAAACTGAGTACTATACACTGCAAACTCTGCACTGTACACTGCAAACTCTGCACTGTACACTGCAAACTGAGCACTGTACACTTCAAACAGCAAACTGTGCAGTGTACACAGATCCTATTTTATCATTTTATGATGGAGAAGAATATTCTAGTATATTAGGTTTGACCGGATAAAACTACCGGAGGAGGCCGGGTTCAGGAACGAGGGGCAAACCATGGATTTCTCTGGACCTGATTACCAATCATATCGGAGATTCTGCACTGAAGAACTTAAAAAGAGAAACCAGAAGAAAATTACAAAACCAACCAATTTAATTTATATTGGAGGATTAGAGGTACAAACTACGTATTTTTTTATATTGATGCCCTAACGTCAACTGAGATAAAATTATAGAGATATCCTTTTTTGTCAAAAAATTGATCATTTTGAATTGCAGGTTTTCTGTACGATTGTTTAATTGCAGATTTATGTAAAAGAGACTATTTTCAAGATAGAAAAGCAAAGATATCTTCCTCATTGTTACTAATTGATGAATTAATCGGATGATCATTAGATATTACGTTGACAGTTCCTTTAAGAAGATTTCATAATATATGATAAAAGAACTATTTTTCAGGCCAACATGTCTCCCAACAGTATCATGGAGAAGTTAGTCCTGGACAACCAGGTGCTGGCTACCGACTGCCTGGGGTTCGAGATGAAAACCAACAAGAGGAATACTCCGGGCAAATCTAAGAAGATGGTCGCCTACGTCCAGTTTGAGACCGTGGACGATGCTATGGTGGTGCTCGCCTACTGGGGAATCAAGGAGGGGTTGAGGATATCCTTTACAAAAGAGAGTATAGAGGAATTAAAAAGAACTTTTAAAGAGAAACATATAAAAACTGTGTCGGGAAACGAAACTTTTTTTTAAATAATCTTAATATTTTTAAAATTTTTATTCTTGGGTTGTTTATTTGTAGATGCGACAAATTATGTTGTAAAAACTGTTGATGGAGGTTTCGAAAAATATTTGGTTTAAACCCAAAAGAAATTCGCAAAAATCGTGCAAATCTTCTCTTGTTTCAGAATGCCATGTTAAATGTTGTTCATGATCCCAGGAGTAAAAAGTTCTACATTAAACTTGACCAGGTACAATTTAGACAATTCAGAATGACATAACAAATTTTCCAAAATATGGAAATGTGCAAATTTTTGTATTAAATATGTTATTTTACTGAAGCAACTCTGTCTGTGATGTTGGTCAAATGGCGACAAAATCAATTAAAAGTCTTTTTTTTTATTGCGTTGATTCACGATAAAACCGAACAGAGAAGTTTCATCAACATTTTTAGTAAGGGGTTTAAGAAGAAATGATGGATGTATTTTTCATCTTTAAAAAATACAATTTACCACATAAAATTTGTAGAGTATAGATAATGTTTAAGTTTGTCAGGAATCCCCTGGTCTTGAAGCAGTCCTGCTCTACGACAAGATCTCAAGGAATAAATACGATTTTTATCACACTGAGGTACCAGTAGGTAGGATACAGTCCTAGATCAATATAATATATATATTTTAGTTTTGAATTTTTTAATTATTGCCATGTGTCAAAGATCAATTTAGTCTTTAACGTAGAAAACTTATTGTTTATGGGCAACTAGAAGTAAAAATGAAAAGATGTTCAATTTATCGATTGTTGAAAATCCCCGAATGTGAGTTAAAAATTATTCCGCATAATTATACCACGGGATTGATTTTTAATTTAACATCCCGCTTTAGTAGTGAGCTGGGAATTTCATGAGTTGGTAACTGTTGTTGTGAAAAGGCGGTAATGATTTTTTACTCGTCCTGGACAATCAAGTAAACCTGAAACAAGGTTGTGACTTGTTTCTACCCGTATTAATAGAAACAACGAAGGGGAACTCAAGCCTACAACCTACATTGAAGATTTGAGCTATTATTTTTATTATTATTATTATTATGCTTTCTTCTATTTCAACTTTTAATTTTGGGGCTATCTGTGAGCATCTTCTCTTTGTAAATACAAAACTTTAACAAAAAAGTTCGCGGATTTAGTAATATTTTTCCGCGCATTTACAAAATTTAACGAAAATAAAAAAAAATTGGAAACAGTTTTATAATTCTAAGAGTGAGCATCCATAAACCTTCCCTGGGGTTATGTGAGGTCCCAAACAAAACTTGGACCTGATCAGTTCAGTCGTTATTACAAACAGACCGACAAACAAAGTATATATATAGATACTTGATTGGACACCCAGCTTTGTCCAGGGTACTCATAGTTACTCCTTCCGTTTACCCGCATATGGTCGTAAATTACGATTTTACCTTTTTTTCCGAAAAAAGTCGACCCACTCATTTTAAAATCTCAAAACCAAGCTAAAACTATCCCGTGGTTCTCCCGAGTTCTTCCAATTAGAATTTTAGACAAATCGGTCAAGAGATTACAACTTTATATATATATATAGATATTTTAGAGCTGCGTGGTCGAGGAATCGGGAAAATACTCGCCAGGAGAGGAATTGATTTCATCTTAGAGGAGAAGGCTAGTGTCGTACTCTCCTGCTCGTATCTCAGGTTTGAGAAATTTTTAATCAGAAGTCAGAACTTTTGTGTTGTGAGTCTCCGGATTAAACATTGATTCTTCGATTTATGCCGTTCTTTGAATGGATTTCATTCCTATTTGATATCCTGTGTGTATGCAGAAATAAAGTTATTGAGGGATTTAACACTACTTTGAAAAGTCCCCACATTGGATATCGAGATCAAGCGTTCAACATTAATGATACTACACAATACACATTCCTCAGATATATGTTATATTTAAAGTGCCAGTAATAACGCATAAAGAAATAAACGATAATCAATCAATCAATCAGATATTGTTAATTGTAATAAATGAAATTGTTCTGGTTTTTGCTCTTTAGAAAATGATTATTATATTATTATAGCATTCAGGAAGTTTGCCGAGGAAAACCTGACTGAAGAGGAACTGAACCATGTCGAGCCTTGAACAGGTCGCATGTGACGATCTGAAAGCGTTTGAGCGACGTCTGACGGAGATTATCGCGTCTAGTCATCCAACAGCAATCAGATGGTTAGTTCTTTTAACTTGATATTCAACTCTATAAATATTATAACACGAGGTCCCGAGGGTTNGGGGGGGGTACGTGATGTGTAAGTGGTGGAGTAGAACTTATGGGCATTATTTTCTTTTTTGTTAAATATTTTTAATTTTTATTTATATATAGGCGTATTGTACTCGTTGCTGTTTCTATATTTGTTGCTATCGGAGCTTTCTACTGGCTCAGTGATCCTTTAACGGCACAGGTTAGAATTTTGTAATGTTTATCACGGACCTTTGTTAATAATATTTGGTAAATGTTGATAGACTTTACAGGAAAAATGTGTTCATTGGTTTTCAAAGCCGGGGGGAAGGGGAGAAAATTGTCACTTGGCTTTGCGAAATTATCAACCTTACGAGAAATCGTTATTCTTCACAAAAGCCAAAACTCTGCCTAAAGCCTAAAACTTTGTGACATGTTAGGAGACAATATGGTTGAGGTCTGGGGGAAATATTTGGCATGAAACTATTTGTATTGTAATTTTTAGTTCATCAACTAAATAAAGTTACTCTGATCCCTAGCGGAATAATTTGGAACTATCTGTGCTAGGTTTCGTTCTTGAACTCGATGTGGTTGCATCCCTTCTTCTCCACGACCAGCATCACAATGATCATCCTGTTCCTGACCGGGATACATAGGAGGGTAGTTGCACCATCTATACTTGTTCAGAGGACACGGGAGGTTCTTTTTGATTTCAGGTAACAAAACGTTTTCTATGACTGATTGTAACTTCATTTTCAGCTTAACTTCATTAACAGCTTAAAAATATATATAAAATATGTTTATAGCATGGATTGTGATGATCATGGACGCCTTATCCTCAAACCTCGCCCTGCGACCGCCTAGGACCATGAGCTGGGGAGATAACCTGCCCAGGAACTTCTCCTGGTTTAGAGTGAACAGGATCGCAGGATCCGCCTGTCCGGAGTCGGAGCTGGAGCTCATCAGTCTTGTCGGAGTAGGAATAAATCATGTTGTAACTCTCTCGGAAGACAAGATGCCCCCGTCTTGTATAAAATCGTGTAAAAAACTTAAATGGACATTTATCCCAATTCTAAACTTTCAAGGAGCCGACCTCTGTGACTATGAGAAATTCTTCGATGTGTGTGATATTGGTCCCATCGACAGTATCCTGGTACACTGTAGAATGGGGCGAGGAAGGACTGGTATGCTCCTTGCAGCCTACGTAATGAAATATGAAGGGATGAGTGCCGAACTTGCAATCAAGGTTGTGAGATCAATGAGACCAAACTCAATTGAAACTCTTAACCAGGAACAAAGTTTACAAAATCTTGAAAAATATCTTGATAACTTAAAGAACCGTAATTAATCACACTGTAGGGAATTAAATTCATTATTATTGCTTGATTAAATTTCAGAAATCTATGATTATAGAATGTTTTGTTGCTCTGACTCTATCTCTGAACCTGTGTGAGAGCTCTGTACTGTGTAGGAACTGTGGACGAGAGCTAGCGGATCCGTTCTACCTCAGAACTAAACATCTCTCACCAGAGTTTTTAGAACGGAGAAACAAGACTCAACTCTTCGGTGCAACTCATCCGGTCTCAATAGAAAGATTAAAGAATCCAGTCGGGGTAGAGTTTGAAGTTGTTAGTTTCCAGAAAGCAGGTATATTAAACCTTTTAGTTCATTTATTGCCATTTTGTTAGAATTTTTAATACGAGCAGGTATATAAACCTTCCGGGTAGCGCGGGGTTTAATACCCATAATCATTGTTTCATATTTTTATAAGATATTTAATTATTTAGAGAAATGTAATTATAATAATCTTCAATAACAGTTTATTTAATATTTGTTAGCTTATTTTTTATCGTGCTATCTGTATATTTTGATATTTTTCTGTTCTAGGTTGCAAAGGTTTGGGTGAGTGGAGCGGAGAAGCTTCTTGGTTTCCTGGATTTCTTTGGCGGGTGTGTGTTTGTCCCCAGTGCGGATATCATATAGGATGGATGTTTGAACCTGAAGATCTAGTTTCTGAAGATCAAGACAAACCCTCAGCTGCTGGATTCTATGCTATAGCTCTGAGTAAGGTTATAGACGAGAACTACAGTAGAACCCTGACTATATCCTCTACACGACACTAGACACTGAATACTAGTCACAATGGCAGAACTCACAGAAGCTCAACGTGAGTTCCTGGATACTTGCGAGAAGGAGTTTTCTAAAAGATATACAAGTGAAGATAAAGCTTTTATGCAGGTAGGAGATCAAACTTACATTAATTTCATTTAATTCAAAGATGTTTGTTTACCAAGGATATAAATGCAATTTTTATTTTAAAACCTAATATGAATTTATAACCTTCTAAAATTCCGTTAATGTCTTCTACATAACACAAACTGCTATATGAAAAAAAATTTAGTTTTTTGTTTTTGTCTTTACTTTTCGTTATTTTGTTTCTTAAAGGGTGTGTTGTCTTCACTAATGCGCTTTCCAGGATTGGCATAAAAAAACAGCTCCTCAATTAAACGCTTTTTGTCGGTCACTAATTTTTATGATTTAAAAGAGACATGGCTCTCTTAAAGTTCTCATTGATGTGAGTTTTAAACTGGATTCGTCTGGTTTCTAGTTATCAATGTTCAGGTTTTAAACTGGATTCGTCTGGTTTCTAGTTATCAATGTTCAGGTTAAGAATGCTCTACCCATTCCTCCGCCTTCAGTTCATCCTTGGTATGTGAAGAAGGATAATAGAGGGTTGGATGAGGGCAGGGGGGACAGGAACCATGATGGAAAGAGAAAGGGCTCTGAAGGAGGATACAATGAGAGGAGAGGATACCAGGACAAGAGAGGGTATCAGGACAGGAGAGGATACCAGGATAGGAGAGGATACGGAGATAGGAATCATGGAAGTCGGGATGAAAGAGACAATTTCTAGTTCGTTTAAGTACGAATATTTATAGTTCAATATTTTACTTCCGACTTTGATACTATTCTTAACAGTACTATGTTTAGGTTAAACTTCGGAAGAAAGCAATATTTTCTATTAATATTCTGTTCACATTTTGTACACGGTATCAATAATTCTTGACACTATTATTCCAGATATATGATGAGATAAGATCTGAAATGTCTAACCTAGGACCAAACTACCCAGGCTACCCTGGACAAGGTGAAAAATTAATTTCTCATACGGTGGCAAGAGATTATATAATATTATGAAGACGACTTTCGATTGTAATCTTATTGATATCAAGCTTTTAAACAGCATGGATCCCAAAAAAAACATGGAAACAAAGAGAAGCTGTTAATAAAAAACGCTTTTTATTAATTGATCGCAAACTTGTAGTTCAAAAAAGCTTGTTAACAATAAAAACTAAAATAAAATAGTTGTCTTCATTATATTGATATTATCGCCTACCACCATATTTAAATAATTTTATTTAGATTTTAAGCGAATTTTATTCTCACAATCTTTATCCGACTCTATTCCCTCTAGCATTATCCTTAACTAAACATTTAAAAAATGTTAATTATCGCGCTGCCATGCGATGTTATTCATCCAGTCAGATTTAAAAGATGAACTGGCAATTTTCTTTCAATTTTTTCCCCTACTTCAATCAATTTGTCTCCTAAAAATATATAGATTTTTTAAATTATCTTCGACGTTCAAGGCAGGGGGAGAGGAGGAGGGTGTGATGACAACGAAACTTTAACTAGCTAGCTTTTTGTTATTTTCCCAATATACCTTTCTGTATGTCTACTAGTCGAAGCGGAGTAAGAAGTGAAAAATCCTGCCCTTTTTTTAATAACCTGTCCTTTTGTAATTAGTAGGTTAGATCAATTTACAAAAATAAACTATTGTTGAAACGATATTTGCACAAAAGAAAACTCTTATTTATCTACGAAAGCAAAAAAAATATTGCGAAACAAACTCAATAATTTTCCAGGAAAATAAATACTAACTAACATCAAATATGAAGTATTTAGCTATCTTTATTGTATACTTTTTGTAAAACCCAGTTCATGTTCCAGGATCGATGAATCCCCAGCACCCTCCGTCCTCTCCCTTTCAGCAACCAAAAGCATCCCCTTCCCATCCCAGTCAGCTCTCAGTCCGGAGTTCTCCGTCCCATCCTTCACAACTACAGAGCATTCGGAGCTCCCCGTCCCATCCTTCCCAACTTCAGAGTGTTCGAAGTTCTCCGTCCCATCCTTCTCAACTCCAGAACGTACGAAACTCCCCTTCTCATCCCTCTCAACTCCAAACCATTCGCAGCTCACCTTCTCATCCCAGTCAGATGCAAGTATGAACCAACAAACTAGTTTCAACCTTAAATCTTTATTTAAATAACGATTGAGGGACATTTTAACCTTAATGCGCTCTTCTTGTGAAAACGGAGGGGTTATTGGAGGAATGTGTAGGTTTGAAAAGGATTAAAAGAATACTTAATACTTGTTGGATTATCCCTAAGGAATTGAGTTTTTGCCACAAACTCTGAATTACTCATCTCTTTATCTTTTCAATTCAAAGTGGTCGACCTTAGATATTTCAAACTACGAATTCAGCTGCATCAGAATATTGAAGTTTAAAATATCAAATGTTTACACAATCCGGTTGTGAAGATTTAGGTGTTAGAAATTTTTAGTTTGTGGCGAAGACTCAATTCCTTTTTTCAAAAATTGCTGCATTAAAGTTTCAAAACAGTTCCGGTTTCTGATAAAGAAATTATAAATCCCTAGTTACCTGTCGGAGCTGTTGGTTCATCTTCTCAGGGTGCATCCCATCCATCCCATCAGGAGTCAGAAGATCAAAGTAAACTCAGGTTCCAGGTTAATATTCAATATTCATGGTATTTTATTCATTGTCAGAGCATATTAGAACCCTTCCTACTTCTAGTTCCAGTTTACTATAACCCTCCCTACTCCTAGTTCCAGTTTACTATAACCCTCCCTACTCCTAGTTCCAGTTTACTAGAACCCTTCCTACTCCTAGTTCCAGTTTACCAGAACCCTTCCTGCTCCTAGTTCCAGTTTACTAGAACCCTTCTTTCTTCAGTTCCAGTTTACTAGAACCCTCCCTACTCCTAGTTTCGGTTTACTAGAACCCTTCCTACTCCTAGTTCCAGTTTACTAGAATCCTTCCTACTCCTAGTTCCAGTTTACTAGAACCCTCCCTACTCCAAATTCCAGTTTACCAGAACCCTCCCTACTCCTAGTTCAAGTTTACTAGAACCCTCCCTACTCCTAGTTTTAGTTTACTAGAACCCTCCCTACTCCTAGTTCCAGTTTACTGGAACCCTCCCTACTCTAGGTAGAGATGGAGTTTGTGCAGAGTCTTGGGAACCCTAACTATCTTCACTTCCTGGCTCAGCGAGGATACATGAAAGATCCCTGTTTTGTAAACTATATCAAATATCTCCAGTACTGGCAGGACCCACAGTACGTCAAGTAAGAAAAATTGTTCTTCCAAATATTTTCACATATTTCTCTAATATTCTTTCCTTTGAATAACATTATTATGATAAGTTACGAGACTCCCTGAAAGTCGTTTGTCAGGTATAAACCCCATCGGTGATAAGTAAAGAGGTATGTTAAATTTTGTCTCAAGGAAAAAAGACTATTTACATTAAGATTTAGAATTAGAAGATGAATTAAATATGAAAGTTGATTGCATCTATGAAATAGCTTTTTCCAATAAAACTTTTGGACATCCGATTATAAATGTCGTCTTTTATAAGCTCAATCCAAACCAAACAATTTGTTGAATCCCGAATAAAACTCGAAGTAAAGTTATCTCTGAAACTCAGAAATCCGCGAAATGAATTATTAAAACCATTTAACAAAGGAAAATCTGAAAGCATGGATCCTAATCGGTTCCCACCTGGAATGTATGGTGAGGATGTACACGGCGTAGGAATGGATCTTTCGGGTGGGTTCCTTGGAGCCAGAACGGACTCGTCTAGAGATTACAGCTTTTTAAGATTTAATCAGCCCGAAAGCGAACCGTGTAATAATGTGTACAAGAATGGAGATATATCTAGTGATGCAGTTGAAACCAAACCAGACGTCGGGTCTATCGAAGATAATACGAACAAAGACGAATCTGATATGTGGAGTAAAATGCAGACTGAAGAATCAAACAAAACATTGAGCGTAGAACATACTGTAACGGAGAACGGGTCAAAAGGGAGTCTATTAATTGGGTCAAATGCTCCAGAAGAACAGGAGAGAGATGTTATTCTAACGAAAGAGGGCCCCGATACTAAACCTGATATGAAGGCTTGTGATACCAAGGATGATATTAAGAATACTGGGGAACATCCCACTGATATGGGAGATTTTGTCAAGGTTGAAACCTCCGAGATTCATTATTGTAGATTCTGTGCAGCTCCGGCACCCTCCTGTATAGATATATTCGAGACTGAAGGACAGGCACTAAACCTTTATGATAAAATCACTAAATGTCTCAGATTGTATTTATCTTCAGACGATCAGTTGCCCAATACACTGTGCTATCCTTGCCTGGAGAAAATAGAATTCGTATTTTCATTTTCAGAACAGGTTTATCATTCTCACAGAGCACTCATCCAACATCTAGATATTTGTCAAACTTCCAGCGCTAACTTCGACCAGGTTCTGCATTCTTATTTTGAAGATTCTAATTTCTTTTCCTTGAATGCTCGGTTAATGAAATGTGAGAAGGACTGGGAACCGAATTCAGAAGAAGAAACTTTACCCGAGGAACAGGAGGAAGCACCGAAGAAGAAAGGGAAAAAGAAAAAGAAGTTAAATTTGAAAAATAAAAAGAAAGATTCTCAGACCGTTGGTTCTAAGAAGCTGTGGAAGAAGGAGAGAATGAAAGTTAAGTTAAGGTTTACTCCGTCCCTGACAACCTGTGCGTCCTGCGGACATAAATCTGACACTTCTAAGGAGAACCTGGAACACTGGGATCAAGAGCACAAAGATAAAAATATTGAGTACAGGTACACTAATAATACTGTTGACAAATTTTTTGCGCAATAAACTTATGTGTTTTGGTAGAATATGGCCTAAATAAAACTTCCGAATTGTGAGGGGTTTTTTTCGGCAAATTTTTGTTTTGTTTTGTTTTGTTTTTTACTAGTGCTTAGGATCCATTTAATTTTGATGCAGATGCGGATCCAGATCCTGGATCCGCATTGGGAAAAAATGGATCCGGATCCAGGTCATTTCTGATTTACTGAATTTTTTTAACAAAAAATAATTTTCGAATATTTTGGTTTTATTTTTACGCATATTTTTTTCCTAAAACTTGATAAACCAATTTAGAAATTAGGAAATTTTTATAATCTCTCTTTTTTCAAATGTTCTGATTTGGGTTTTAGGAGTAAAAAAATTTTTTTGCAGTTTTTGGTTGATATTTTACCCCTGAGATCCGGATCCGTGGATCCGCATATTTTTGCACTGTTTTTTTCACACATTTAAATTTATATTTGAAAATTTTTTAAGAATGCTTGCTTTTCTAGATGTTTTGAGACTGGTTGTGAGTTCAGGATAAACTGCGTAATGACGATGAAACAGCATACTAAAGAACATATGTTTAAGGAGGGGAAACTAACTCAATGCGAAATATGTGCTAAATATTTTGCCAAAAGACAGATCAAAGCACACTTAGCCATACACAGTGACGTATGCCAGTATTCTTGTAATAAATGCGGGAAAATGTTCAAGGTTCGAAGTGCAATGATAACGCATGAGAAGACCCATGACCCTGAGTACGCCGCTAACTCTTACTGTTGCCCGGAGTGCGGGAAAGAGTACAATATGAAACATCAGTTTGACGCTCATGTTCGCCGGCATTCTGAGATTCGTCCCTATAGATGCGAAATATGTTCTAAAGCGTTCTGGAGTCCGAACGACCTGCAATATCACATGAGTATTCACACTGGACTCCGACCTTATCCCTGCTCTCAGTGTGATCTCAAGTTTGCTCGACCTCTAGACGTTAAAAAACATTTTATAACTCGGCATTCGGAACCGACCAAATTCGCGTGTTCGTACTGTCCGGTCAAATATAATCGGAGAGATCAGTTGAAGGTTCATGAGCTTAGTCATACAGGAGAAACTCCATTCAAATGTGAAATCTGCGGGAAAGGATTTACAAGGAAGGATAAACTAGTTCGGCATAGTGATGTTCATGTCACAGATGATTCAAAGTATCGATATTCATGTCATTTATGTGAAAAACGTTATACTCAGAGCGGGAGTTTGTTTACTCACATGAAGAACTCTCACGGAGTCTGAGAAACATATTTTCTATCTATTTCAGATCTCTTTTAAATTCAATGTAGAGTAATATGTATGTTAAACATTTTCTTGTGATTAGTGCTAAATATTAATATTATTCTTCAATTTTTGGAGTAATTCCAGGCATTTAAAATAAAATTTACAGTGATTTTATTTATTTTCTAAAAGATTATTGCTTGCAAGAGTTATCAGACTTTCCTGATAAGAGTTTTAAATCTTAAGTAATATACCGGGTTATCGTTATCGTGTACAAAACTTTTTTTAAACCCCGGAGGCCATAATAAGATCCAATTGGACATTTTAGGATAACTGAGTTGGAAACTTATGGTTGTGGTTCAAATAGAGTTAGGTTCAAATACTAGTTCACGTCAAGGTTTTTGCTGAATGTCCTTGAGTTCATTGAATTTTTTAACTTCTTCCCGCATTGGGAAAATAATTAGATTGTAATTTTCAACAACAAAAATTTGACGTTCTAGTTACCACTATTGGTTTTTTAGGACACCATGTATTTATGTTGATGACAGTAATATATTACATAAAAAATTAATCTGAAGGATTGGATGATCCTAATAAAAAAATGATTAGTTCCAGAATCATTTCGTTGAAACAATAGTATCAGGTGCATGGAGAGGTGGTGTATTTGTAATCAAGTTTTTAACTATTGATTGTAAAGTAATATATTCAAATAGCAATTCATCTCGAAATGTTCTCTTATTTTATATTATTTTATATAAAACCTTGCCTTTTAATTACATTGCTTTAACATCGTAAATACCTTGTAACATTCAGCAATCAACCTTAAAAAATTGTTCTAGGTGATGCTTGGGTCGAAAATGTTTTTTTTTCTTCATTTTTATGCTTCATTTTTATCTAGTGTACATTTGTGCTGATTTCCTTCCCCGGATTTTGCTAAATAACGCTAATCCCGTTTTTTATTCACCCTGTATATTATTTAGGTACCTGAAGTATCCAATTTACTCACCCTGTATATTTTCTAGGAACCTGAAGTATCTAGTTAACTCACCCTGTATATTATCTAGGTACCTGAAGTATCTAGGTTACTTACCCTGTATATTATCTAGATACATGAAGTATCCAGTTTACTCACCCTGTATATTATCTAGGTACCTGAATAATCTAGTTTACTCGCCCTGTATAATATCTAGGTACTTGAAGTATCTAGGTTACTCACCCTGTATATTATCTAGGCATCTGAAGTATCAAGTTTACTCACCCTTTATAATATCTAGGTACCTTAAGTATCCAGTTTACTCACCCTGTATACTATCTAGGTACATGAAGTATCCAGTTTACTCACCCTGTATGGTGTATATTATCTAGGTATATCAAGTATCTAGTTTTCTCATCCTGTATATTATCTAGGTACCTAAAGTATCCAGTTTACTCACCCTGTATATTTTCTAGGTACCCAAAGTATCCAGTTTACTCACCCTGTATATTTTCTAGGTACCTAAAGTATCCAGTTTACTCACCCTGTATATTATCTAGGTACCTAAAGTATCCAGTTTGCCTGCATTTCCTGGAGCTGTTGCAGCATGAAACCTTTCGTAAAGAAATTGTTAGCGGTCAGTGTGCCAGGTTCCTGGACGACCAGGTTCTACTACACTGGCAGCACTACACTAGGAAAAGGTAATCAGGGCAGTACGTTAGTCTCTGCTGTACATAGCCTTAGTTTTAAAACAGAGTTAGATACATTGATAATAGCATAAAAACTTATCTTAAGTGTAGTTAATTTTTAACTGATCTAAATTATCCTCATAATTTTTTACTTTTCTACTGAAATGTTAATAAATCTAACCATTACATATTTTAGAGCAAAACTGTTTGAGACTGCCACAGTTCCTGGAAACGCCACACAGACATAAAACACCATGTTTATTATTTACTGTACAACATGTACAGTGTAAAGTGTGCTGACTCAACAGTTTTATTGTAATTGTAAATTAATGAGAGAAAAAAAACATTACATCACTCATGTTCTTTGAATCGTAATGGACAAGGACATTAAATAGAAATTATTAATTTTTTTATCGACGTAGAATCTGTTCTATCTATTCTCTCTATCCTCTCTGTTCTATACTTCATCTTTCATTAATCCTCCCTATCCTTACACTTTTAGTTCTATCCCTATCTACCCCAAACGTTTCTGTTCTGTCCATCCTCTCTATCCTAATAACCTTTCTATTCTATCCTGAACCTTTCTGTTCTATCCTTAACCTTTCTCTTTAATTCATCCACTCTTTCTTCAACCTGAGCTGAAAACTTCAGAATGTGATATCCTTAATCCCGATCTGTTAATTAATCTGGAGATTAAATTCATGAGGAAAACAAGCAATATTTAATCTGAGCTGGGAACTTTAGAATAGTGGATATCGAGATTAATGCTTGATCCACTCCTTTTCTTAATCTCCAGATTAAATATTGCTTGTTCTCCTCATGAATTTAATCTCCAGATTAATTAACAGATCGGGATTAAGGATATCACAATCTAAAGTTTTCAGCTCTGGAGATTAAGGAAAAGAGTGGATCAAGCATTAATCCCGATATCCACCATTCTAAAGTTCCCAGCTCTGTTATATCCAATCCCTGCGACCCCTACCCTTACTCGGTACTACTCTTCCTATCTTCCCTAAACTCATTTAATTTTTATCTTATGAATCATTAATTTGTTCGGGGGATCCACATTGGGGCCTCCATTTGTGTAGTTAGGAATGAGACGAGTAGAGAAGGGTTTAGGATAGAATTCAAACATATCCTGAATTTGAAACATTGTCGCGTTTTCGAGACAAACCCCTCTTTCCCGTATTTGAGTATAATCTGCACTTCAAAACAAAACTCACTTTCATAACCTACAAAATAAATTACTTAAAACAAAAATTATCTGATATAGACTAAATTAACTTCTGAATTATTTCTAGAATCCAAGTTTCCACATTTTATTTGTTAAATTTGAGAATATCGATGATTTATGTTCAAGCATTTTAAACAGTTTCCCGCATTTCTAGTAAAATCTATATTGTATAAACAAATGATAATAATATTTTGATTTCTCAATGCTGTAATGATTTTTAAATTATAAGAGAACAGTTTGTTTTTATTTTCTATTTTGTTAATATTTTACCTTATCGAAAATCTTGTTTTGTTATGGATACGTTCCGAAACGCGACATCAGCTGAAATCCGGTAATTGTTTCAAAATAGGGATATATTCGAAAATGAAATCAAGAATCTTCATAAACTAATTCTCACACCTTAGTATTACATTAGAATTGACATTTATTGATTTAATATACAGTTGTAGCCATTTTTTTTATAAATATATGGTGTAATTTTGTACTACTCGTCTTGGATTTAAAGATGTATACTCATGATAAGATAATTATGCAGATTTGGCCCATGGCCCATTTCTAACACTCAGTTTAGAAATGGGTCAAGTGTTAGTTTTGGAACTAATATCCCCTGTAATAGTGAGAGGAAGGTTCAGGATAGAGAGAATGAGGAAGGTTCAGGATATTGAGAGTAGAGGAAGGTGTAGGATAGAGAGAAAAGAGGAAGGTTCAGGATATAGAGAATGAGGAAGGTTCAGGATGGTGAGAGTAGAGGAAGGTGTAGGATAGAGAGAAAAGAGGAAGGTTCAGGATATAGAGAATAAGGAAGGTTCAGGATGGTGAGAGTAGAGGAAGGTGTAGGATAGAGAGAAAAGAGGAAGGTTCAGGAATCAGGATAGAGAGAGGAGAGGAAGGTCCAGGATCAGAGGGATGATAGTTTCCTACCTGTTTGCTCAGTTAGCTGGACTGTAACCTTACAACTGTTGACTAATAATGATATGCTATAGGTTAGGCCAGAATCTTTTAAAAATAAAATGTATGCAGTACGCTCTCGGTATAGTTGATGGCCTATACAATTAGTAAAGGATTAGCGTACATCATCACTCTTTACACTATATCCTCGTTGTTTAGAATAGAGAGAGTAGAGGAAGGTTCAGGCTAGAGAGAGTAGAGAAAGGATCAAGTCTTATTCTTTGTTGATAACCCAGTATTCAATCTTAAAATAGATTTAACCCGGAGGTCATAGACATGATTTATAGTTCGGTGTTGATAATGTTCCAAACCCTCACAGAGTTTTAAAAAAATGGGTGTTAGTTCCACATTTTTTGAAAATATATTTCGGTATGGGTTTACCCTCTTCAGCTCTTGAGATTTGTTTGTCTCGTGAAGATTTAGAATTCTTGTAACCCACCTTTACTTATGATAGAATGAGAATGAGACTTTAATTACAATCTAAAACTTCTTAAAATGAAACTATTTGCATTGATTTTGGCCCACTGCCTTAAATAAAGTCTTATAAAGGTATATTTTTTGGCAAAGAAAAAAATGCAGTGTAAAGCTTCAAAAAGCCATAAATATTGAATAAAAATAATTTTCGTCTTTTAAATCTTATCCTGTGTGGGTAACACTCTATCTACCGTTACATCAACTACTAAATTTTATCAACGTACACAAAATATTAAATTCGTGGCATTTATTAATTTGACAAAATCCGAAGCACTTTTCAGAATTGACCAAATGTAACAATCAATGAAATAGAAAAGATCTATGAATTATGATAAAGCAAATGTAAAGCTTGATAAACTCCAATTCATCCACTTCGATGTGATTTAAACATCTGAAAGAGTTCAAGTTATTCAGACTAGACTAGATTCAGACCAGGATTATGAAGCAACAATGAAAAAACTCCTTCCTATATATTAAGAACTAGGCTTTTAGGCCGTTTCACGCCCATCTTCTATTTTATTGAGACAATTTTCTTTTTGTATAAAATGTAAAACAAAGAACAAAACAAAAATTTCGTGGATTTTATTAAAAAAAAAAAGTCGTGGATTTTCAAAATTTACAAAAATCTAATTCTGGTAACAGACAAATTTTTAAAAATTCGATCATCCATAAACCTTGCCCGGGGTCATGTGAGGTCCCACAAAAAAAATTGGTCCCGATCGGTACGTACAGCCGTTTAGACGTTTATTGGATTCAAACAAACAGACACCCAAGCAAGTATATATATATATATAGATAAAAAGTGTAATGATGTCTGGACAGCTTTTAATGTCTTCATTGTTAGAGATATAGATCTTCTAAATCGACAGGAAATATTAAAAAATAGAAATTTTAAAAAACTAACAGAGGAAATACTTTTCTTATTTTGAAAGTTAAAGCTAAGTGTTTTTCTATGCATGACAGGTTTATATAAACAAAAAGATTATTCAACTAATTTTCTTATTTATGATTCTCAAGGTAGCACCTGTCTACGGTTCAATTAAAAACACACCTACCCTCAGGATGAAAGTATATCCGGAGATAGTTGTGCCAATTTACTTCAGGTTTCCCCCACCTCCGTCCTACTCCGGCCAATAGCTGATAATTGCGCGCCAGGATCGGACCAATCAGAGTCCGGGATAGATTATGAGCTGCGCTGGGTCGGAGGGATGGGTATATTGCGCTCTAGAAGGATTAGTTTACAAGAATATTTTGTAAGTGGGCCGGTCCGTTCCTAATCAATTATACTAATCGAATTAAAATGGAAAATATTGGCACAGGAGGCGGAGAAGGGTATAATTGTGATATTAGTCTTCTTTCCTCTCATCCTGCACTACACACACATAGACAGGACGTGAGCAAAAATTTTTCTGTGAGTCATTTGTTGGAGTTGCAGGGGGCGGGGAATCTATACCACGCCCACTCAGCCCTTCTTGCAGAGCACCATCATAGGGTGGGACCCGATCTTAAGATCCCTGAAGGTAAAAAATATGAACACTTAAAACTTTCATCCTGTTTCCCTTTATCTTCTGAGCGGTGTTTTTATGATTATTACTATAAATATCCTGTTCTCTATAATCTGTACTTTTAATATCCTGGTTTGTAATCTTCTATACTTATAATTTCATGTTTTATAATCTTCTATACTTCTAATATCCTGTTCTATATTGTAATCTTCTATACTTATAATATCATGTTTTATAATCTTCTATACTTCTAATATCTTGTTCTATAATCTTCTATCATAATATCCTGGTTTGTAATCTTCTATGCTTATAATACCATGTTTTATAATCTTCTATACTTCTAATATCCTGTTCTATAATCTTCTATAAATATTACAAACGACTTAACACTCCAATTTAAAAATTGCATATCGTAAAAATGTCTGATTGGTATCAAATCAATCCTAAATATTTTCCCTCCAATACTGCTGCACTTTCAAGACTACCATTTCTAAGTTACTAAGTTATTAAGTAAGTTACTCCTTTTAAGTCGTCGCGTAGTCTTGAAGTATTGTTAATTTTTACTTGGTGGATATTACGTAAATATGACATTTTTCCGGAATCAAACTGCTATACTTTAATTTAAAGTTTGCGCTATGGATATCGAGTATTTTGTAAAGTTTTAAGAATAAAATGTTATCCTTATGTTATAATTATTTTCTTTCGTAATTTCTTAACTTTCTTGTCTTCTGTTTTAGCTAATTTAACTTTCTGTGTATTTGATCTCTTGTTTTACTCTTACAATTGTGAGTTTTTGAAATATCATGTTACGATGATCCCCCGGGGGCTGTCTTTATATTAGTCCCGTGATCTTGTGTTCTTCTAGTCTGTTCTAGTCCCAATATCTAATTATAGGTTTTCCTAATCTTAGTTTTAACTTTACATGGTTCTTCTAATCCTAGTTCTAGATCATGGGTTCTCCTAATCCTAGTTTCTAGTTTACTGGGTTTCTAAATCCTAGTTCCCAGCTCTTGGGTTCACCTAAATCTACTTCCTAGTTAATGGGTTCTCCTAATCTTAGTTAGTTCCTGGGTTCTCTTAATCCCAGTTCCTAGTTCATTGGTTCTCTTGTTCCCAGTTCCTTGGTTCTCCTAATTTTAATGGTCCTAGTCTTAGTTCCAACTTCACGGGTTCTTATCCTCGTTCCTAGATTACTAGCCCTCCTATTCTTCGTTCCTAGTTAATTGGTTTCCTTAATCCTAGCTTCCATTTAACGATATCTCCTGTATGTTAAAGGAGTGTCCTAATCCTGTAGTTCCTATTAATTGGTTCTCCTAATTATTAATTGTATTTTCATGGATTCCTCTAATCTTTGTTCATGGGTTCTCCTAATTGTAGTTCACGGTTTCTTCTAATCCAAGTTCCGGGTTCCCACAAGTTCATGGGTTCTCCTAATCCTAGTCAACGGTTTCTTCTAATCCTAGTTTCTGGTTCCCATAAGTTCATGGGTTCTAATCCTAGTTCCTGGTTCCCATAAGTTCATGGGTTCTCCTAATCTTAGTTTACGGTTTCTTCTTGTCCTAGTTCCTGGTTCCCATAAGTTCATGGGTTCTCCTAATCCTAGTCCACGGTTTCTTCTAATTCTAGTTCCTGGTTCCCATAAGTTCATGGGTTCTCCTAGTTCTAGTTCACTGTTTCTTCTTATACTAGTTCCTGGTTCCCATAAGTTCATGGGTTATCCTAATCCTAGTCCACGGTTTCTTCTAATCCTAGTTCCTTGTTCCCATGAGTTCATGAGTTCTCCTAATCTTAGGTCACGGTTTCTTTTTATCCTAGTTACTGGTTCCCATAAGTTCAAGTGGCCAATTTTATTCGTCGTAATTGTGAAATTTCATTTTCGCGGATTTTTTTTTAACTGGTGCATTTTTCAAAAAAAAGTTGAAAATTTTGTTTCGGATCGAATTGTTCAACTTTGAAGGGCTTTCAAACTTACCGGGGTCATCTGGGCTCGATCAGTTCAGCCGTTTTGACGTTTATGAAATAAGCAAAATATACAAAAATTTAGTTTCACGATAAAATCGACCAAGTGCGGGTAAACGGTGGAAGTAACTATGAGTAACCTAGCTAGTCGATGTATATTACTGTACACTAACGGTTTAAAAATATGACGATATCTCCCAAAGTTTCTGGGGCTATCTGTATTATATTAGTTAGATATTATTTTACTGAACAATTCCTATTTCATTTGACTTTTAGACATGAATGTGCTTAAACATATTTTTCCTCTTAAATGTTTTTAATTATGTTTGAGCGTCGTAAATAAACTATAATAACATGTTAACTCATTTTTTTTAGTCGGGAGTAGACAATAAAAGAGAAGAAAATACATTATTTGATGCACATTGAAGATTTAAACATTTATTGTATTTCAAATTGTCTGGAACAAGTGATGACATTTTCAAATGAAAAGAAAAAACAGTAAAACTCCAATTTACGATTTAGTTTTCATATTCCAATATAATATTACATGGGCAATACACAAGATATTTTGTATAAATTATATATAAAAAAAATCTTTTATATCTTTTTACTCAATAAGTATAGATATAAAAGTATAGTAAGAATATTTTTACAATGTACATATTATTATAGAGACCTCGCAGAGCACTTAAATCTTCGTTTCCATTTTCAAAAACTGAAAAAAATTAAAAATTAATTTACCAAGTTTGTAGATCCAGGTCCTGAGGATGATTATAAGAAGAAAACTCGGCGGAACAGAACAACCTTTAGTAACGGTCAACTTGCTGCTCTGGAGAAGGTAAATTTAACTTTTTACAAGAAAAAAATAATTTATCAATTAATTAAGAATTGCTAAAGTTTAGAAAGAAAAAAATATATAAATAATTCTCACGCCCAAATCTGCCTTTTGGTGTAAGACAGGTGTTATTCAAACAGATAGACAGCTTGATATTTCTATTATATTTACATATTCTTGCATAAATATTTGATATTTATGCACTTATTTTTTTCAATTTAATTTATCCAGGGCCTTAGTTATTCTACTGAGAGACCCTTTTTAACGATAAATATGATACATGTGATACATAGCTAGTTTTTTTTTTGACCTGAAAAACTAAAAAAGGGTCAAAATTAATGAATGAAAAATTTAAAAAAATAGATTTTCAACTTATCACACATTATAGTTTATAAAGTATAGATATTTTGCCTGTTTTCTTTCCCTTTAGTGCAATTGAGAAGCTATTTACAACAAAACCAAGAAAAGATGTAGAAATTTGAGTTTAACTATAAATAAATGTACTACTGAATTTTTTTAATCACGAAAAAGCCAATACATATTTTTTTACAGGGAAAGTAAATGATATATATGCCTGTAAAGAGCTTGAGGATGAGTACAAATAGGGATGGGCAATAGCCAGATTCGACTTTCAAAATGTTTTACAACAATATGACAGGGTTCAAAGAATTTAAAACTTTATTCTGTATAAGTTTGTTTTTATCAAACATGCAAATGTGTTACCCTAGAAGAAAATATAAGGCAAAAACTATCGTTTTAAATCGATCGTTTTTGGGTTTTTTATAACGATAGTTTTGGGTTCGTTTTTGCCTTATATTTTCACATGGAATAACAAATCTGCATGTTCAAGATCAAACTTCTACAGGATACAATTTGAAATCGTTGGAACCCTCTCAGATTGTCGTAAACCTGATAAAAGTCTAAAAATAACCTGGACATTTTTTGTATATAATTTAAATTTGTCTCCATGTTACTTTTTGCTGTATGATGGTTCATCAGAATCATTAATCTAATAAAAGGTGGGAAAATGATAAGCTTCTTAAAATACAAAAAATTTATTTAAACTCTGTTATTTCACAAGACAGGATTGAAACAAAAATTCCCAAATAATTTATTTCCGAAAGTACTCAATTTTTCTTTAATATGAAGAAAAAATATTCCTTTACACATAATTTTAAAAACGAAAATTTATTTTATGTCAATTTCCTCCTCTTTTCTCCTTCTTTCTTTCATTTTCCGTTTCCTTCTTTCATTTTCTTCTTTTTCTGTTTCAGAAAGTGTGCCCTACCTTCGGAGATAAAAGGGAGGGGGGGGGGTACGTGCCCCTGTGCCCCCCTTGCTAATAATACATAATAAATAATAATAAATAATAATACATAGAAATAGAAGTGCGGTTTGTTTCTAAAATTAAGTTTACTGCATTTTCTATGAGGACTATAAACAAAACTCGACCTTTGAGTAGCACTGAGATTATTTACGTTTCTCCCAGAAACTACACAACCACTTTTATCTTATATTTCCAGGTGTTTGAGAGAACTCACTACCCTGATGCATTCGTGAGAGAAGAACTTGCTAAACGAACAGGTCTCAGTGAAGCTAGAGTTCAGGTCAGAAATGAACAAATATTTTCTTCTTCTATTTTTTACGTTCATTTCAACTGTTCCTATTAGAATTAAATTGTTCCGTTCCATCTTAGATTTCCTTGTTTTATTTTGTAATTAAACCGTTCCTTTCTCTATCTAATCTGTTCCTGTTCCATTTCTATCTCAACTGTTTCTGCTTCATCTAAACTGTTCCTGCTCCAGTCACATTATACATTTTATTGTTAAACAACGGTTCCTGTTCTAGTCCCATCTTTGTTTCATCTAAACTGTTCCTTTTTCTATCTAAACTGCTCCTGTTAACTCTATATTGTTTCTATCTAAACTGCTCCTGTTAACTCTGTATTGTTTCTATCTAAACTGCTCCTGTTAAATCTTTATTGTTCTCGTCTCTTCTAAACTCTCTTAGTTTCATCTAAACTGTTCATTTCCTATGTATACTGTATCTGTTAACTCAATAGTTCCAGTCCCATCTAAACTGTTCCTTTTCTATGTATACGTCATTCTTTTGAATTTAAGGCATTCAAAACACCCAAAATGACATTCCTATATTTATCATTGAAAGCATACAAAAAATTGATATTGTTGTAAATATGTAACTGTTAACTCAATAGTTCCAGTCCCATCTAAACTCTCTTGCAGTTTCGTCAAAACTGTTTCGTTAACTATCTAAACAGTTTCTGTAAAATGAAATGTTCTCATCTCTTTTAAACTCTCTCAATTTAATCTAAACTATTTCTTTTGCTATGTAAACTGTTCCTGTTAAATGAGTTATTGTTTCAAAATTATTGATAAACTAAAATAATTCAGCCGTGCAAGTATTTGTTACAAATGCAGTATGAATGCCAGATTACTAAATAATTGTTAATTAGTTAACTACAAAGTATTAAGTAGGGTTGTGTAGGATGTATTTAAACTACAACAAGGTTGGGAGGAGTAAGGGGAGTGTAGGTCAGCTTCTACAAATATGTTGGATGCGCAATGTTGATGTAAAATAATCCAGCGTATCTCTCCGTGACAGCTGTCACAGGAGTCACAGTAATATCACCCAGATTTTACAAAACTTTAATTCTCACTCTAGATTAAAGTAAATATAAAAACAAGGAGATCTATATGTCTCGTTCAAATATCATTTGATTTTAGAGCGAAGATTCATAATTGCTAAGATTAAAATCATAAACCTTGTTTTCAAAATAAATAAAAATTTTACTCCCAAATGTGTCGCTGTATACAATACATATTAAGTGTATAATTTACGTATATTTTGTATAAGATGTGTGGTGTGAAATAGTTTTGTATCCAAGAAATTAAGTTTGTACCCATGAAAGTAGGGTTGTATCCAATCCAAGAAAATGAGTTTTTATCCCAGAAAGTGAGTTTGTATCTAAAAAAGTGAGTTTGTATCTAAAAAGTGGGGTTGCATTTAAGAAAGTGAGTTTGTATCCAAGGAAGTAAGTAAGTTTGTATCCCAAAAAGTGGGGTTGTATCCAAGGAAGCGAGTTTGTATCCAAGGAAGTAATTTTGAATTTAGTCAAACGTCCAAAAAAGTGTGTCTTCATGTGTGTATTTGTCTGAGGATGTGTGCTTTGTATTTATTTTATTTTAACAAAACTGCAATGGCTTTCCAGATGTGAAATTTTGCTCAAAATTCCCTGATGAACTAGATCCTAAAGATATTTACAAATATTGGATTGAAGGTTTAAAAACTAAGATTGTGTAATGTTAGTGTCTGGAGTATCCAGGAGGCAGAGGATACAGTTGTGACATCGGTCCTTCACAACCTGGATCAGGTTCCAGGAGGAGATTGGACCCCCCCCTTCCAATCACTACTCATTGTATCAAACTTCTTCATCCGTATCTCTTCATCTCTTCTCTTAGGCCTTCTTTTCTTTGTCTCTTCTTTTTGTTTGGACTCCCGTTCCTTACTTCTTATTTTCCATCTTTCCTCCCCCAAGCTACTGACTTCCTTCTCCTTCTCCTCATCTCTTCTAAACCACCCTTTCGCTATCCACTTCCTCCCGAATCGTCTATTTCCAACCCACCCTTCTCTCCCCCTTCCTACACTATACTCCCCCTGCTTCCTCCTTCTAGGAACTTGATATCAAATCTTCATACACCAGTTCATATGCATCGTCTCAAAGTGCATTCAAGTTCAATTCAAGACATTTGACCCTTTTTAGGGAATTCATGAACTTTAATTTTCAAGGATTTCTGTGTTTTCTTCGAAACTTAAAAAATGCATAATTTGAAAGATAATGCAAAAAAAGTTGACGTGAAAAATTTAAATATAATTACATTAAGGACTTATATCTTACTTTTTATCAAAAGAATAAAGGTTTTAAATCAACGATAACAGTTTATTAATTTTTGATCAAAAATATAATAATATGAGGAAAATTGTAAAAGATCTTTTGTTTCTGTTTCCTGTTTAAAAATGCTAACACTGAAAACCCTACAAAACTATCTATAGTGGAACAGCAAATATATGAATTCATTTAACTCTTAAATATTTAGAAATTTATTTCTCATTAGTGTAGAGAAGCTTCACGGACAGTTCGGGTTCATTTCCTCTTAATTAGTTATCTTTCTTTTCTCTTCCTAAATATCTTAAATTTTGAATCCATTCCCTTCGGAGCAAGTACACAATAAGATAATAGTGTAAGCAATAAAAAACAAGGTTTCCAGGGTCAGCTGCGCCCCTTTTTAAAAATTAAATTCTTGCCACATGAGATACATACATTATAATTAACAATATATATGAAATTTTTCTTGTTTTATTTGAAATATTTTAAAAATTGTAAATATATTGTCCTGTGACGCAAAGTTATGTGTATTTTTTTTTAATCTTGTTACTCAAAATTGAATATATTGAGTCTTGTGACGCAAAATCGAACACATTGAATCTTGCTAAACATTATAGAATAAAGAAAATCTTTTTATGCAAAATTGAATATATTGAATCTTGTGACGCAAAATTGAATACAGAGAATCTTGTAACACAAAGTTGAATATATTGAATCTTGTGACGCAACGTTGAATATATTGAGTCTTGTGACGCAAAATCGAACACATTGAATCTTGCTAAACATTATAGAATAAAGAAAATCTTTTTATGCAAAGTTGAATAATTAATTGAATCTTGTGACGCAACGTTGAATATATTGAATCTTGTGACGCAAAATTGAATACATTGAATCTTGCTACGCAAAATAGAATGAAGAAAATCTTTTTACGCAAAGTTGAATAATTAATTGAATCTTGTGACGCAAAATTGAATATATTGAATCTTGTGACGCGAAATTTTGTACATTGAATCTTGTGACGTAAAGTTGAATCTTGGGACGTACAGTTAATTAAGTATACTGAATCTTGTGATGTACAGTTGAATCTTGTGATGTATAGTTAATTAAATATACTGAATCTTGTGATGTACAGTTGAATCTTGGGACGTACAGTTAATTAAATATACTGAATCTTGTGATGTACAGTTGAATCTTGTGATGTACAGTTAATTAAATATACTGAATCTTGTGTCCGAACTCCTGGTGACGCCTTGAACTCTGTGTATGAGTATGTAAAGGAAGTGGTGTATTCTCTTGGGACTAATTTCACCAATTTTCTCACATTCCCGAGGAATTAGTGAACAAGGAACGGTTGCTTTCTACTCCCAAGGGAGCTGTATATAATGAAACCTTGAGTATATTTAATTTTGCTCCTTCCTGCTTCTTAACATTCTAAATATGTAGATAAGCAAAAATTGGAATTTTTTTCAAATAATAACTTCTTTTTAGACATAATTTCAAATGATCCTCCAATCAAAGTTATTGCAAGACCGATTCACATGAAAACATCGTTACCCTTGATCATTGATCATTGATTATTATAAACTGTAGTTTCTCTAGAAAATGGCTTGTCGATTTCTGTTTTTAGAAAATTGTTAGAATTTAAAGTTGGTAAAGCTAGAAAACGACGATATCTTCCACATCAGTATATTAATTAGCTAAAGGTTTAAAGGGTACTGAATCAGGGATGTTCATAAAGTTTCTGTTATCTTAAGCTTCAAGTTGACTTTTTATATATATTGACTTCCTTATATACATTACATTCATCAGAAAATTCACTTCAAATATATCCGGGCTAAGGAATAAAAATCTTTCTTGAAAATTCAATCTTTGAAAAAATTTTCCCGAGTTGTTTGGCATGTTTTTTTTATGGTTTTATTTGCTTTATTATGAAAACAAAGATAAATGTTAGCGGGCAAAATCTAATATTGGGAAGTATCAATAAGAATGAAAAATTGTATCCAATTTTTGATTTAGTTTTCCCAGAGCATCAAAATCTTTCCCCCACCCTCGGGGAGTGGAGGGAGGGGGGGGGGTAATTCTTGAATTTACCATTGATGGATTTGTTTTATAAACTTAGAAAAAGTACTAATTAAGAGATTTGGTTTGGTTTACTTTATCTTTATTCTTGTCCGTTTCTCATTATCCCAGTTCTAAAGAGAAATATGAATTTGGCCTCTTAAAATGGCAAATCAAGCACTAATTAGAATTAGTTCGGACATCCCAGCCTGTAAGGTTGGGTTCCGGCGGCGTTAGTGGCGGCTCCAGGTCCCAGGGGGAACAGGAGAACCCGGCTCCATGTCCTAGGGGGAACACAGACCCCGGAATGCGGGTCTGGCGCCATACTTAACTTAACTTTGAAATAACGAAATAGTTTCGGAAATTGAACTTTTACTCCGTCTTCTGGAAGGATTGAAACAGAGCATGTCCTCTGTGACAGGAAATCATAATATAGTTTACAGATACAGATTCCTAAACCCAACCCAATCCTTAGATCTTTAGTTCGTGCATTTATCATTGCTTCTCCCTCTTCAGGTTTGGTTCCAAAACAGGCGCGCCAAATTCCGGAGAAATGAGAGAAGCATGATAAACGGGAAATCTACTCATCTTGAACCAGATTCTTCAGAACAACCCTTGGTTTCAAAATCTTCCGGCGGGAGCTCAGTTAGTGGTATGTTTAATCTTTTGGATTTATCTCAATATCATTCAATTGTCGAATATGTCTTGTAGTCTTACAATCAAAGCGTTTAGCATCCTTTCTAATAATAATTTTAGCTGTTGATGCTGATCTCTCTGCAAGCAGCTTTATTTCTTACTTAAAATTTTTTTCATATTTATGGTGAATTTTTAAATTAACTTGCAATAAACGAACGAAATGAGAGGGCCAAAGGAATTGAGTCTTTGGGACAAAATCAAATATTTAAACCACAATATCTTTAGAACTCGATGTTGTTAATGTTTGATATTTCAAGCTGAGATTACTTGATCTAACAGAATTCATAGTTTGAAATATCTAAGGTATGCAACATTTGGTTCCAAAGATATAGTAATAAGAAAATCTCGAGTTTGTGGCAAAGACTCAATTCCTTTGTTAAGCAGAAGCCGAATTTAAAGAATTTGAGCTGCGGCTCAAATATGGTTGGTTCCACTTAAAATTGTATTCAATGTTTTAAGATTTAAACCGGTGCTCAATTGAAACCGGTTTTTGGCGGATCTGAGACGCGGCTCAAAATCATTGAATTCGGATTCAGTTTCAACGTATAATGCAAAGCAACCATTTAACCAACCAATCAGCACACAATCTGTAGATTTCCGAATAATATTTTCTGTATATGTTACCTACCATTTTCAATATCCTCTGTGTTGATGAGCTTGACATATCAAGCATATTCACGATGTGTAAAAAAAGACGCACACTAGTTTGGACGATCCAAACTTGCGCCCCACTCTGAACTTACCAAAGCGAGATGCGTTTGTTTTCATCAATTTTGAATTTAATCGAGTTTTTAGCCTTTAATTTAACCAAGAATGTAATGCAAGGAAAGTTATTTCAGAAGTGTACACATCTTTTGTACTGTCTCCGGGCGCTAATGTAAACACAAGACGGATGTCGGAGCCTGACATGGGATCCTTCTTTCACATAAATAATCAATGAAATATTCTGGTAATAGGAAACTATAATTATGTGAATTATCAAAATTATCAAAATTTAATGCTTTTAACCTCCTCGGATACTAAACGAACACTAGTGCATCTATTATTGTTTACAAATTCAGCCCAGAGAGAACTGGTTTTAATATGTACACAGAGTATACGCAACCGCAATTGACTTTCCTTGCATTACAACCTTGAATTCAACATTCTTTAAACTTGCAGAGATGTTTTTTAAACTTTTTAAATGCAGACGCCGTCAACAAAGCATAAAAGGGAAAAAAATTACGTTTAATAGGTCGAATTGTGATCGAAAGTCACAGCTTATTATCTGTAATTCAGGGGAATATTTCCCTTTCCCAATTTGAAGTTTAAGAACCCTCCCCTCCCCACACTCCAATATGTGACCTGTATTCGTCCTAATCTAGTTTGATTTTAGTTTCAAGTTCTCCGTATCCGTCCTATCCTGCAACCTGGAGACAAAACCCCGGAGTTCCTGGTTCTCTCCACTATTCTATTCATAATGGAGCTAGGCATCCACATACAGGTAAACCAACACCGGATACAATCAGTCCCATGACATAAAAAACAGACGAATAAAAAAATATTTAACCATCAATTCAACTAATATCTAATTATAAATACTTTTGAACATTTATTTATTTACACTTTGGTTTCCCACATAATCTTGATAAGGCGAGGGTGGGGGGAACTTACAAAAGATTTAGAATTTTTCAAAAACCTCAATCTACCCCAAAGGGTTCTAAATTTTGAAAAATGAGGAGGCCTGTTGACCTGTGAACCTCCTCAAGGGAAGGAAGGTGGGGGGGGGAGGGGCATTTTCCGGACCCCCAGCCTTTTAAGGGTTAATAATTATTCTTAGTAAACATCAGAAAATTCATAAATTATAATTTAATCAAATTTCTTAATATACAGGGTTATCCACATCTGACATCAGATGAGACTTTACTGACGACCTTTAACTATCTAAATATAATGATTTGAAGGTTGAACTTGGTTTTTGATATAATTTATTAATGGTACAAAATATGTTTTAGAAAACTAATAATTACGTTTACAAGTGCAAGGGACCAGAAATGTAAAGATAAGAACTGAATTAATTGTGTTTGTCGTCTCAAAAGCCTAACCCTGTATCTCGTTTATTTTAAAGAAACTACAAAATATGGCCTGACGTCTTAAGATTTTTTTTCTTTAAAAATATTTAAATTGGGACAAACATCTTCTTTTTCAACTTTTAATTGGGGGTTTATCTGTGAGCATCTCTCTTTGTACAGTTTGCGGTTTACATAATAATTTTTCGCGCATATAAAACTTGTTAACACAAATTTTGATCATTCATAAACCTTCCCTTGGGTCACGTGAAGTCAAACACAAAATTTGGGCCCGATCGCTTCAATCGTTTAGACGTTTATTGGACACAAACGGACAAGCAAAGTATATATATATATAGAAGATATAATGTACAGGGTTACCCACAAAGGATAAAAATTTAATTTTTTTTCTTTCATTCATAATTCTCTGCAGCTGTTTGTAGAATCGGTAACCTATTAGTTTCTTAGTCATCATTTAGTAAACCAATTTAAACAATAACTAAAAAATTATAATTTGTTTCATAAAAATTGTCCTTTATCTCAATCCTTCAATTTAGGTTAAAAATAAGGATGGAAATGTTTTATTTCTTCAAATCAGTTCTGTTAACGTTAGCTACCGGTACATTTTGTTACAGTGCTCGTGGTCAAATTTACAATTCGAAGACGACTTTTTTATTAAATTTTTTTGTTCGAATTAAAAGTTTACACGTAAATAAAGAGAAGCTGTTATTTGACAGCATTACATTGTTTCCATGATAATGTATCCTTGTTGATTAAAAGCTAAGTAAAAATAAAAATTTAAATCGAAATTCGTCTTCATTTTATTGATGTATACGACGATTGTAGTTATTTGCTAGTTTGACGGTTCACTGTGCACGTGTTAATTTTACTCTCTTCATTCACTATTTGAATTAACGCTTGTCCAACGAGTCCAATTAACTCGTTATCTTGTCACCTTTTTTAAAACACAACGTGTGTTTCGTAAATGAAAACGATGCCAAAGTTCCAACACTGGATCAGATATTTTAAATTTTTTTCTTTAAATACAAAATCCGAATCTAAAAAAAGTTTTTAATTTTAGTTGGGTTGGAGGGAGGAGGTTTCATGGAGAGTTTGAGCAGGACGGGTGGATACAGTAGTAATTGCTACCCTGAGCAGAATAGAATAAAACCTGGTGATTATCCATCCTGGAGATATTGAACCAGTCTAGTCAAATCAAGAAACCAAAGCTTATATTCGTTATTGTAATTTTATCAGATTCAAATAATTATAAAAATAAATGCAGCGTTCGCTCTTAAGATATTTTTTGTTAGATTAAATAAACTTTTTCACACCAGAGCTCAGGTTTAAAATCCGTCATTTCGGCTTTTTTCATCCATATTAATGCAAAATAATAAATAAATATTGTGATTTATTTAACAATCCTATATACATAATAATTGGCAAGGTCAAGACGGGCGTCATTAATTTAGGCTCCGAGGCAGCAACCTGACGTAAGTAATCATAAACTTGAATTTTTTCGGCAATTTCAACTAAAAACATCATAGTGTGGCGGGTTCAGGGGTTTGATAAAAGAATAAATAAACTTTCTTTCTTAATTATCTTTACAAAAGAAAACAACCCGTATTTTAGGTCTACCAGGTAACAACAGATTACGCGGCTATATAAGGGAGATGTTATGGAACTGAAGTCCTATAATTTGATTTTATTTTTATCAGAATTCCTTCGAGCGTACATTTTTGGATGCGCTACGCTACAGGTTATCTGTCAAAAATATCAATAGAATTAATGATTTATCATGACAACAATCAGAAATTGTCTTATAAATTTAAGTATAAGAGAGTATCTTATCTTACAGTTGTCGTTGTATATCAATACAATGAAGAAGAAATTCTATTTTAGTTTTGATTTTTACCAAGCCTTTAAACATAAGCATTTGAACAAAGAGAAGTTCTCAATTAACAACGTCTCTTGTAAACTTGTATTTTGAATAATGCTTACATTCTGGAACAAATCATTGATAAAAGAAGTCGTCTTCATTGTGTTGATAATCTCGCAGAACACTGTATGGATAGTGTATAAGAGACCAGAATTCCTGGGAACAATTAAAGATCTGAACTTTAGTGCGGATATTGTAATCTTTAACACTTGATCTCAATATCCTAAGTGGTTACTTTTCTTTTTAGTTATCCCTGCAGGGTTTAATCACCTCGGGATACCAAAAGAGTAACTATATTAATCCTCTAGTCTGCATAAGATCAATGCTTGATACCAATACCGAGAAACGCAACACAAACAGGGTAGTGTAGTGGATATCGAGATAAACACTTGATCTCGATCTTCTGTTAATCTACATATTTATTTATTCTTTATTCGATAACCGCAGTATAGTTGTACCCTGAAGGGATAACTAAATTGAAGAGATTAAAAATTAATTTCAAATTATAAGTGTTCCCACTTTGGATATCGAGATCAAGAGATCGGTGTAATTAGTATCCAGCACTGAAGATCTCAGCTTAGCTCAAATCTGACGTCTAGAACAGTGAGTAACTCTTATTTCCAGTTTGAGAGACTTAATTAAGTAGTCCTAGCTAGAATTCTATCTATATCGAGGTCACAAAGTTTAATTAAGGAAAGCTATTCTTCTTTCTAACATTGGAGCTAGTTTTAGGAAAAATTAAATACTAGCTTCATCTGGAGACTATGTATCCCATCAAAAAGTTAGCCGACTCACTTGAAGTTAAAAACCATTCCTGCAATTCATATATTAGGCCAATGAAAGTTTGAGGCAAATCGTCCAGAGGGTTTCTCGAGTTGTGATCGGATATGAGATTACTATTTTTTTACTACTGATTTTTTATCATATTAAAAATCTTCAACAAGTCAAACAATTAAGCTTTTAGAAGATACTGAATGATTTTAAACATAAAATCACAAGCTACAATTTATTCAAGTAAAATGAAAATGTAGTATATAAAAACAAAATTACAAAATTTTCACGAGTGTTGTAACTGTCAATTAAATAGCTTAAAAGACAATTTAACAACAAAATATACGAATTGTACAGTGCAAGTACACAATAACAGAATAAACAAAATAACTGATACATAGAATTTTCTGATTTTTTAAACAAGTCTAATTAAAGTACTAATAATGACTTGACAGCTGTCGACTAAAAATTGCCAAAATAGTATAAATCCTTAAAACTAAAACTGTACAAGCTGTACAGCGTACACACTATTAAAATCTGCTCTGAGGCCTCTAGCTCAAAACCATCCTAATAAGAAAATGAATAAAAGAAGTATAATCGTCAGCGTTTATCTCAATACAATGATGACGACCTTCTATCTCAGTTTTAATATGATTATGTTTAACAGAGACAAACATACGTGTAACAAATAGCTATTGAAAGTGGAAAATATTATTCTTTTTTTTGGGGGGGGGGCGGGTGCGGGGATTTGTTTTATTTAAATGTTTTAGGTTGGGAAGTGGTTCAAACTTCTGAGCTGAAAATCATGATATTTTAGGTTAGAATAATGTCCAACCCTTATTTCTTAAGATTTAAAATCTTTATCTTGGTTAAGGAGGAGTGTGTATTAACGATCAACCTATACAGTATACAGTCTTGAAGTATCATGTCCTGCAACAACAAAGCTCAATAGAAATTAGAAAATCGTCTTCATTGTCGTATTTTTACGACGGCAATTACATTTTAATTGGTAACTAGAAACTAAGAGTTGTTTTCATGTTAAGCCTTTTCAAGTTTCGTTGTTCCAATCTAAATAAAATTTTAGAAAAATGTTTGAACCAACCTGGATCTGTAATTTACATATGAAGTTGATGATTACACTGAATGGTTAATATGTCGTCTATTTCTGGTCACAGAATCTTAAATATCATCAGTTTAAAATTTAAATTTCGAAATATAGGAATAGGATCAGGATTAAGTATTTACAATAATTGCATCTTGAGATTTTGTGGCACGTGTAATGCTTCACTTGCTGGCAGATTCTATGGGTTGATACTAATTATGAAACAGAACAAAGCAACTATTTGTACCAGATTTAATATATTTGGATACTTTTTGGTGCAAAGTCTCTGAATGTGGCTAAGTGACATTTCTTTGGGAGTAATATGTTCACCGAGATTAATTTTAGATGTAACGCTGTCCTGTTTAATGTTCTCTTTTTAAATACCTGTTTTGTATTTTGTCCATAATTCCGAAAATTTCTAAATTATCGCTGCAAAACCACAAACTCTGAAATATAAAGGATGTATGTTCACCGTAATTAAATTCAGAAAAATTATAATTTTTAAAGTTTTATTTTTAGCAGATTTACTTAATAAGAAGTAGTCTTAAAAGGAGTGAACACGTAATTACAAGTGACTTATACTTAAAGAGGGTCATACCTAATTCTCCTAGATCAAAACTAGTTAATTTAAAATCTGTTTCTGATATATGTGTTAGAAGTGGTCGTTTTCAAGCTTTTTCTCCAGGCTTCTGTATAGAGAAATACACAATTTGATAACCACAGTTGAAAAAAAACTAATTTTCTGAAATTATGGATTTCTTAATTATTTTTGATAAGACAAAGTTTTCATGGGTAAAGTTGGGAATTGGACATGCCTTTATGAATGGAAGAACACTTAAAATTACGTTTACACGTCCTTTTACAAGTTTTTCACAGACTACAAATGTGATTACTCGCCACTACCTGTAAATTTTTACTCTCTATATATTTTGCAACCTTAAAATTTTACTATTCAAGCTGACAAGATTTCTAGTTTTAAATATCGCCCTACATGACGGGGTAGCAAAGATAGAGAATAAAAATAAGATTTTGTTGCGAGTAATCAGGTCCTTAGAACTTACAAGAGTTGAGTATTAGATTCTGAACCTGTGGATCTGTAGTCCTGATCTATTCGTTATTTCTTGTTGTTTTGGGCCGGTGTCATAACTGAAATATTTTATGGGGATTAATAATTTAAAAGGAGTGCAGCACGTCTTTAATTTGATTTAACAAATAATGCCAATTTTTATACAATATGTTAACAATAAGTTAACAAATATACATTTTCTTCACATATTTACTGTTAAACCCCCGCAAAGCCCGACTGAATAGGAAGGTTTTCATTGTACATTTGATTGCAAGAACTTTAGCTCAAAATCCAATCAGAAAACAGTTGTAACCTAAAATGAAATATTTTCATGAATATGGACTTTCGAGATGATATTGTATGGTTTTAACAAGGAATTCCAGATATGAGAGAATTAGCAGAATTTCAGAGTGTTTAAACTTCAATGTGATGATGTCCCCCCCCCCTTCTCCACCATCAACCTCCTTACCTGTATACTGTAGTTGGGGGTCTAATGACTGAAAAACAAATAATTGTTCTTACGCCTCTTATTATTGGTTTGTCTAAAATAACAAATAATTAATCAATCAATTTAGTTTATTTATACAAAACTGGATTAAGGTAACTCATTTGGACAGGGCCGGGGGTCCATATTATTCCATTTCTGATCCCAAATGGGGTAGGGTTTGAAAGTACATTTAGAGGCATGAAAGTACACTATATGTTATTGTGAACTTTGACAAGTTTTTGTGTACGTGTACTACACTCCAGAAATGTGTACTGCATTTGGAGTGTTACAAGATGTAAATATTAGTATTTAATATAAGAGATAAATTATGATATACAGAAAAATAAACAATCCTTTGTGGTAAACATTCAGCAGCGTGGAATTTTTTCTACAAATTGATATCATACTTTCAATTGTTTACTTATTTCTGCCCCTAATATCAATCGATTAACATTTGGGATTGATTAGATGGAATTATATGAACCCCTGCATTTAAATCCTACAGCTGAAATTTAAAACCGACCAGAAACTGTTAGAATAAGCATTAAGCAAAACCTAAAATCAAATTTCTTTTATTATCAGGGGTGAAACGTTAGTATATTTATTAAGCAGCATCGCACATAGAAATTCATTTATTCCTTACTGTTAGAAACATTATTTTTATTACTTAAATCCAATAATTTTTTACCAAATTCTTTTTAAAAATAATTCTATCATTCTTTTCAGCATCAATTTCAACTTAATCTATTTATCAACTATTATTTCTCTAGCAAAGTACTGCACTGTTAATACTGGTTGATGTTTAGTTGTTATATTACCTGCTAATGATAACATCAATCTTTTTCCTGACACCTTCATCAAGAGAAATCATCCTCTCTGCTGGAAATATCGGCGATGAAATCAGATCTTGATGCAACTTATCGAGTGAGAGTTTAGGCGAGGTATCAGACGAACATAATGGTATGTTTGAGATAAACTTGGATTCTATAGTTGGTTTCATATATTGTGGAATTACTGTTGCTGGTTTCATATCTCTGGTAGTCATCTGAGAATTGGTGATATCCCTGTTATTATCCAGTACCTGGCAATCCCCTGGAGAGTCAACCTTAAAACAAACAACCAATTCTTATTTGTTATTGCATGAAACTTGTGTTGTATACGATTGTGTACCAAAACAATTTAAGATATTTACAAAAGTTTTATTTTTAAAGTATAAAAAATTATTTAATTTTAATTCTACCCGGCATCAAAAATTATATCATGTTAATAAAAGGCAACTTTTTTCTTACTGTTTTTTAAGGACAACCCGTCATTCAATGAAACAGCATTTGGCCATGGCAACGTAAAATATGATTATTGGTTGCCTTTGTGACATCAGTCATTAGAGAATAATCTAAAGCTTTTTCAGGTAACATCACTGGAGCAGTAGTGTTGTCAGTTTCAGTTTCCACTGGCTGAACTTTCAGAGGTTTGTTTGGAGATAGCGGTTCAGGTTTCTTCTCCAGGTCGACTGACTTGAGCTTTGAAGCTATCTTCTGACGAGAGATTCCAGGAGGGAAGGGTAGAGATTTCATTTTCATCAGGAGATCTGATATCAGGAAAAATATTATTAAATCAGTAGATCATGTTTTGCCTAAGGTAAAAAATTACAAGAACAGGCGCTTGGTAATAGAAAAAACTAAAACTATTCTTACTTTTTTTTTGTGAAAATGAAAACGAGAAATTTTGAAGTGAATCAGAGAAATTCCAGGATAGGAACATGACAAAAGAGAAAAGTCATTAGAAAAAAGAATGACGGAATAAGATGAATTAAGAAGGAAAAAATAAAAAATATGTCAGAATATTATTGTCATTAAATTAATATAAACCCCCTCCCTCAAAATAAAATATGTTAAAAAGTTTATTGACAAGTGCCAAACAATTTAAGGTTTAAAAAAGAAGTGAATAAAATATTTCTATAAATCATAGCAACAATTAAAAAATAATCACTTACTTAATTGAGTGATCGGGTCCTCTGCAAAATTGGACTCAGTTACAGAGATTTCTCCGTTAATTGTAACATTATCATTGGTGTCACCACTATCCTGAAAAATCAATGTGTGGTGTGGAGTGTGGACTTAGTAAATTATGTTTTTTTAAGTTTAAAAATGTAGAAAAGGGATTTAATTAATTATTCATGTTTTTTGTTGAAGAAATTTACTTAACAAAGTTTCTTAAAAAAATACGCCTATTAGTGTCAACTGACATTTTGTTTAAAATTCTGCAACATTTTAGAAAACAACTTAACCTAAATTTACATTTAAAAAGTTTGTAAAGATAAACTGGAATTGAGGGAAAAAGAGAGTGGGATGTAGAACTACCTTAATTATTGGTATGGAAGACATGGATTTCACAGTGCAAGGAATATCATCTTCTAATATGTTTTTCTTTGCAGGTCTGGACCTGGGTTTTCTTACGTTCTTGAAAACTATCTTTCCCTTAAATCTTGGAACTGAAGCTTGAGCTAGCCTGCGACTGGATCGCGGTTGAATGTTAGGTTCATTCGAGGGCAAGGAGTTAATCTTCGAGTTTTCTGTGCAGGAAGAAAATTCTTCACAAGGATCAGAAACTGAATTGGAACTCAGGCGATTGCTCAGTGCTTGGCTCAAGCTTTCTACTTTCTTTCTTTTCTTGACAGTATTTTCAAGTTTGGTCTTCAGTTTCGTAATTCTGATTTCGTCTTTTATTTTCTCCATCTCTTGTTCAATCTTCAGTTTGATAGATCTAATGTAAAATAGTCAATTTAGCAAAAGAAGGCGTTGATATAAAGTAAGAAAAAAAGCTTTATCAATTGATATTACTCTAAAGTGTTCAAATTGAAAAAAACGATTTAAGTTCTTTTGTTGTAGGTTTTGTTTACACAAGGACCTCAAAATAAACCCAGGGATTAGCGTTTTTAATCCCCAATTATTTAATCACAAACCCCTACCAATAAATAAATTTAAATTTTGATGATAATCAATTTTATTTTAGAACATGTCACATTTTTGAAGCAAATGCAAAGTTTGGACGCAAAACACGGTTTGCAACATAATTTTGTGACATTTAACAGATTTGTATCAATGATGTGTTAAAGCATTAACACAATTTAGTATAACAAACAAGTTTTTACAGTAGTATTTAAATGATGAAACATGTTCTTATATTTTTTTTAATTTAACAACTTAAACCATTAAATTGAACAGAAAAATACGGGATTTTTTTAATGAAAATGGAAGAACCTTGAAATCATCAGAAAAATCATCTGAAAGTGCGTTTTGTTCTGAATTTTTAAATATTTCCAAATTATGGATTGTTTCCAAAACGCGTCCAAGATTCGTGATATGTGCGAAATGGAAAACCTTGAATTGTTTCGAAAATGGTACGGGTTTAAATTGAAAATTAACTATCACACATAGTTTTAATTTGAGAAAAGAAGGAAACAGTCTTATTTGTAGTTCTCGTTGTGCTTAATAGAACATTGGAAATAGTTTATTTAGTTGATTTTCACACTAGACACAAGAAGAGTTACTGAAGAGTTGATCATAGCGTCACATTTGGAACATAAGCAGTAAGCACGGTTTGCAACTTTATTATGGTTATATTTTAAATTATGTCATGAAAGAGGCCCCAATTTGATTCCATGTCAAAAAATGGCATATTTCTTAGGTCCATCAAAACTATTCCCGAACATTTGACCAGAATTGCTACCCCTCTATTTTGGGTTCCTTTCAATAGAGTTATAGGTTTTATAATTCATAAAGCCTCAAATGAAATTTTTTTATGTAAATCATTTTTAAAAACAATATTAGTTAGATGAAGTGAACTGAGAGATTTCCCAATATTCAACATAATTTTACACCTAATGGAGGATCAAACAACAAAAACTTAAGATAACGACGTATTTAAAAATTGAGAACTTTGTACTTGTGCCTATTTTTGAGTCGTTTTGTAATAAAAAGGGTTAAAAATCCTTAATCTCCGGGTTTTTTTGGGGGTAAAATTTTGATTTAAAAGAAACAATAATTGATTTCTTGTTTAAGAATATCTTAATAAGTGTACATGCTAAACTGAAGTTAAAGCTAGTTGGATTTATTTTACCTGTTGGTTCCCAGTTTACTAAAGGACTCTTTAACAGGGATTGACTTATCCTTAAATAATAACAACATTAAAAGTTTAATTTGTGAATTAATAAAGTTGAAGCAATAATATGATGGAATAAATGATGCAATCTCAGAACAACGCTAATCAATGTCAATCCAAGAAATCATGTTTTGTTGAATTGACATAGTCACACATTCGAGTTTTGTTAAACTTGAATGAACCCAAATGAACAAGAAAGTAAATAACCTTGCTGCTCTTTTGTTTTCTAACTCTAGCCTGAGATATCTTTTTCTTCTTCGGTAATGGTTCCTACAAAACGAATTAATATCAGAACAATCATGTATTCATCTAAGTTTTGGCATAAATAACTAAAACAAAATTGATTCTTTGAGCAAATGAAATGAATAGCGAGAAGTAATGAAACCATTTATTTTAAACTTGAACCGACACACCAGAGTTGCAGTCAGTATTTTTAGTTTAATTACTTCTCATTACTCTATTTGCCCTCAGAAGTATTTTTACTTTATAACGGTTCACTCCTCTCCTGGACCAGAGACGGGTTAACAAAAAAGCTTGTGAATAAGTAACTACTTTCAAGTATCTGTTAAATCAAGACTTAAACCTGACTTTAACAGGATTCCCTCGGTCAATGATTTAATCTTTTACATTTTGAACTCAGGTTGACCCCCTCTCTATTGTTACCTTTTTCGTTTATTCACCAAGATAAGAAATAGATGTATAATCCAGCTTAATATATGGAATTAAAGATAAAGTGTAACAGTATAACAAAAATACATTTTGTTTTCAAGAAATTTAAGACATAAATGGCTTGTAAATTTGCAATAATGATCAGTATCAAACTGAAAGAACTCCTTCTCAAGTTTCCAAAACATATTTGACCTTCTTTGTATGTGCAATACCACCAACATGGTCAAGGATTGAAGAAACTAATCTAATTCTGCTCAAACAAAACAAGAGTAAAATTGTACCAAAATACCATTTAAGTAATCTGAAAATTTGTTAGTATAGAAAGGAAGAGATACGATCTTTAGCTCAATGGTTTTGAAAGCTTAATAACTTCACCTTTCAGGATATAGTTACTTTTTCATGAGCTTTTGAAAACTTGCCTCTGGTCAAATATTTTAAGAATTGTACTTTGGGGGAAAATCATATGGAAGCATTCCGCCCCTTTTATCAAGTAGCTTGTATTTAAATTACATTCATGAATTTGAGGAAAAGTAAAAATTCAAGGAACCAACACCTTTTCCTATCAAAATGTTTTCAGTCTTTTAAAATTTTATAGTAATTAAAACTTATTTCTTGTACAAATGTGTTAATGTCAGGAATTTACCTCATCAGACGATTCATCAGATGAGTCTGATGAACTAGAACTTGAATCATCTGATGAACTAGGTTTACATCTTGTCTTCCTTCTTTTCTTTCTTTCATCCTCGCTGTCGGAGCTTAAGGACGAGGACAAGGACGAGGACGAGGAGGTGGAAGAGGATTGATCCCGATTGTGAGCTGTGTTTTTTCTATCGTAGGAATTTGGTGGAACAGAGTTGGCCCTGCTCTTGCGTGAATAATTTACTGGTAATGCTGGTAGTTGTGTCTTATATCTTTTCCTTTTGCTTTGAGAGTCAAAGGATTTTCTCTCTGTATTATCATAACTACATCTACTATGCAAATTACTAGATTTTCTCACACTCGATCTTGTCATTACCTGGGATTTCTCAGACTCTTTTGTACTCTTCTCTGGAGAATCTAGAGGTATCTTGGGAGGTTGCTCAGCTTTAGCACTCCCTGAGATGCTGGATACTGTGGAACCCAAACCAGAAGCATAAATCTTAATTGAAGATGATCCCTCAAAACTTTCCTGGTCTGTAAGTGCGACGTCTTGAGTGAAAGATTTGTTACAATTTGCTGTCAGCTGTATATCCAAGGGAGCTGAATTCAATTTCGTTTTGCTCATTCCAGCAGTCAATTTTGAAGAATCAGTCCTTGCTGACATAGTACCATTTGAGGCTGATTCATCGTTCTGATTTGAGGGTGAAGTTTTATCAGGACTGAACCTCTCTTCGTTATTAATCCCTAGCTCAAAATCCAAAGAGATTTCTTGTTCGGATAACTGTTGAGCCGAATCTTTATTATTTTTATTATTACAGAGAGTATCCACGTCAGGGGATTTGGAAGATTTGGATTTTTCTCCAATGACACTCAGACCAGCTATTGAACTTTTGGTGAGATTAGAGAGCGGAATATCTTCTGATAATGGAGTCAAAATACGAATATCTTCACCCTGTCGAGTAGGTTTGAGTTTAGGTGTTGATGTAAAACAAGGTTGAACAGAAAGAGATAGTGTTGAACTTAGGTGAGCAGAAGGTGGAGGAGGGGTAGAACCAGGACCAGCATGAGGTGGTGGTGGGGAAGAAGAAGGATGAGCAGGAGTTGGAGGAAGGGTAGAACTAGGGCCAGAAGGAGGTGGTGGTGGAGAAGAAGCTAGAGAAGGAGGAGCTGGAGGAGGTGGTGGTGTAGTAGAAGGATGAGCAGGAGGGGATGGTGTAGAACAACTAATTAGTATCTGTGTTGAACCTCCACTGAAAAACGTCTTTCTATAATAAAACAGTAAAAAAAAATAAAAAAAANGTATGTTTAATAAAATGGTTTTCTTTCTCTGTCTTTTGATGTTTCATTTTTTATTATACCCCTGCTAAAACATTAAGATTTAAAATATATATTCAGAGGGGATAAAATCACCTGAGAGATGGACAGTCCGCATAGCTATGTTTTGTATCAGATTCGTTCAAAGCAAAACACAATGAGCATGCATGCACGAACATTACCTAATTATTTATCTATGAACATTAATTAATTTAGGATAAAATAACTAAATATTAGACCATTGTATAGGTTTGTCATGTGTTAGAATTTAATTTTGTAATATTAATAAAAAATATATCTCCACTAATTTCTTTTTATTTGAATTGATCAACATTTAATATTTAAATTCCTGAAAGGTGTTATTTTTTGTAATGTTTACTCTTCCCTCAATTTTACTTGAAAAAGAGGAGGATATTGTTGTAACAAGATGAATAATAATGGACAAGTTACTTTTTCTAAAATCTTCAATAAGTGGATTTTTATAAAGAACCCATACGAGAATTAACAATAATTTTTTAATGCTTAATCTCCCCCCCCTCACGCCCCTAATTTGCCATACTTGTAATTTCATGAGGCAAATATTTACACATTTAGTAAAATGTTTTCTGCTCTAAGATTAAATTTACCTTCTTTATATGATCCATAGGTTGAATACAACCAGAAACTGTATTGTATGCTGGACAGGGAACTTGAATTGGGACAAAACTAAAAGCGTTTTTTTTTTGGTGAGAAAAATAATTTCAACCTCGCCAAGTTTCCAGTATTGCTGGCAAAAAAATTAATTTTAATGTGGGGGAATAGCCAGAAAGATAAAGTGCCGGAGTCTATACCAAAAACTCTGATTTTCTTATCTTTATATCTTTGCAACCCAATGTTGTAGACTTTAAATATTTCAAACTATAAATTCTGTCAGATTAATTCATCAAAGGTTTACACCATGAGGCTAGAAAATTGGAGTTAGTGACTAAGACTCGTTCCTTTCATTATTGAAACTTTGTCCTGTAACGATAATAAAACTGACCAATGATAAATACTTGACTATTGAAGAAAGTCTAAAATGACCCTCCATTTGATGAATGACTTTTATAATTCATTAAGTAGGGTCAGATGTACCCTAATTTAAATATGTTCTTTACCTGGGTTTCCCTGCTCCGCCTTCATTTGGAGTTATGGATCTAGATCTACGGAGATGGTTGGGTTCATTACATTCTAGTACTTCAAGCTCAGGTTCCGGTGCCGTGGGTAGCTCCTTAATTTTCTTAGGTTCAACCTTATCCTCTATGGATCTAGTAGATTTTTCTATGTTTGCTGGACTTTGAGATTTAGCTCTAGTAGACTGTTTCCTTGTCGGTTTACTTGAAGACTGTTCAGAAGAGTATTTAGATGGAGTCCTACTTCGAGATTTCTTAATTCTATCACGAGACTTTGAGCGGGAAGATCTCCTTCCAGATCTGAGGTTTCTTGAGTTTCGTGAACCGCGTGGAGATCTAGAACGACGGGGTGAAATGGGACGACGACGTGGAGATCTAGAACGAGGTGAAATGGGACGACGTGGAGAAATGAACCGCTCCCTGGAACGTTCCGAACTCCTGTTTCCATGATACTTCCTATGAAATGAAAAAGTTATAATAAACATTTAGTAAAAGAATGTGTTGTCCCTGCATTAAAAACATAAAAACAAATTACATATTAGGAGAACAGATCCTTAGAAATCTTTATTCAAGTATTTTTCCATGTTCCTAGTACATATAGCTCCTAGTATCTCCCCTAGTACCGGTATCGCTCCTAACAGAAGCTCCCAGTATTACTCCTAGCTCACTCTGTCTCTCATTGCTACCAATCCTAACTCCCAAATGTTCCTCCTAGCTCCCAGTTTGTCCTTACTAACTCCCAGTATCACTTCAAGCTACCGGTGTCTTCCTTAATTCCCAGTATCTCTTCTAGCACCAAATATCTCTCCTAATTCACAGTTTGTCTCCTCAAGCTCCTTTGTATCACTTCAAGCTGCCAGCATCTCTCTTAGCTCCCAGTATCTCTTCTAGCACCAAATATCTCTCCTAATTCACAGTTTTTCTCCTCTAGCTCCTTGTATCTCTTCAAGATACCTGTATCTTCCTTAGTTCCCAGTATCTCTTCTAGCACCAAATATCTCTCATCTAGCTCCTTGTATCTCTTCAAGCTGTCAGCATCTTTTTTCGAATCCAGCATTTCTCTTAGCTCCCAGTATCTTCCATATCGTTAAGTATCCCTCCTGGCTTTCAGTATCTCTTCTTGCTCGTAGCATCTCTTCGAGCTGCGTGCATCTTTCAGCTGATAATTCTATGCCCCAGTATGTCTCCTAGCTCCCCCGGTATCTTCCATATCTTTCCTTGCTCCTATCATCTCTTCAAGGTGCCAGTATATCTCCTAGCCAGGGTTGGAATAAAAAGCCACCCAAAAAAAACCATGAAACTCACTGGGCTGGGATTTGAAAAAAAAACCGGGTTTCTTCCAATCCTGCCTAGGTCCTAGTAACTCTTCAAGCTCCCAGCTCAAGGTATCTTCAAAATCTCTCAATATCTCCACTAGCTTCCAGTATCTCTCCTAGCTTCCAGTAACCCTCCTCGCTTCCATTAAGTCTCCTCGCTTCCAGTATGTCTCCTAGCTCCCAGTATGTCTCCTAGCTCCCAATATGTCTCCTAGCTCAGATGCCAGTGCGTCTCCTAGCTCCCAGTATCTCATCTAACTCCCACTATCTCTCCTAGCTGCCAGAATCTCTCCTAGCGTTAAGCAGCTCCTATCATCTCTTTCAGGTGCCATAACTCTTAAAGCTGCCAGAATCTCGTCTCTCAGTTTATCTCCTAGATCACATTCTCTCTCCTAGCTCCCAGTATCTTCTAGCTCCCGGTGTCTCACCTAGCCTCCAGTATCTCTTTAGCGCCCAGTATCTTCCATATCTGCAAGTATCTTCCGTATCTGCCAGTATCTCACCTAGCTCCAAGAATCTCTTCAAGCTGCCAGCATCTCTTCACGATCTTAGTATCTTCCATGTATCTCTCCTAGTCTTCGGTATCTCTTCTTGCTCCTAACATCTCTTCGAGCTGCCGGTATCTCTTAGCTGATATAATCTCTTCTTGCTCCCAGTATGTCTCGATAGCTCCTAGTATCTCTTCAAGATGACATTATCTCTTCCAGCTCCAAGTATCTCTTCCAGCTCCAAGTATCTCTTCCAGCTCCCAGTATCTCTTCCAGCTCCCAGAATCTCTCCTAGATCCCAGTATCTCTCCTAGATCCCAGTATCTCTCCCAGCTCCCAGTATCTCTTCTAGCTATTATCTTCCATATCTCCAAATATCCCCCCCAGTCTTTTCCATATTTCACATGATCTCTCCTTACTTCTTTGTCCTAACAATGAATGTTGCACATCAAAATACTTTATTAAGTGTTTGATGCAACAATAAGAAATTCTTGACAAAAATAATCGACTTGCATGCACACCTCTTTCAAGTAATAGATTCAGCTTTGATTATTGCTTTAGCTGTAAGTTTTTTTATTACTTCTAGCATTATATACAAGGACAACAATTCATTACAGATTTTTAAAAATTAGGAAACTTGTTTTTAATAGACTTCATTTCGTTCACCTGTCATCGTAAGAGTTTCTCCGTGAATAGTTCCTGGTTCTGTCTGAAGTGTCATCCCTTGTTCTATAATACTCGCTCCTACGATTAAACTGACGAATATCGATATCTCTCTTAAAACCTGGAGCTCTGAACTCATGATATCGAGGATTCCTGTATCCTTGGTAACCCTGATTCCAGTTCCTATGGTAGGATGCAGATCCGTTTCTGTCGCTATCTCTTCTTCTAAAAGATATTATTTTTGTGTTGTGCAATGCTTCTGGATCCATTATGTAAAAAATGGATCCAGATTCAGCTCATGAATATTTCGGCTATTTTCTTTAAACGAATTCCTAATCTATATAATAAAGCAACACATTCGTATATATATATCCAAACGGCTGGACCAGTTGAGCTGAAATTTTTTGTAGGCACTCATGGATGGCCGGGGGTGTCTCAGGCTAAAAAATTCCATTTTTTTTCAACATTGCAATTTTTTTTTAATATATCAAAATTTTTTTATTTCATTTTTTTTTGTTCCATGGGCAACGCCGGGCCCTTCAGCTAGTTTTTTATATGTAGAAAGAAGCTTAATTTACCATTCATTAAATAGGAACGCTTAAAAGTTTTCTTTGTTTTTTGTTGTTGAAATTTAGCCACTTGGATCAGGATACATATATTTCTGGTGTAAATTCAATGGTTTCGGATTTGGATCCTTAGCACTGATTTTGTGAGATGAGCATTAACACAACATGACTCCCCACAATCACATACATGGGACTTAATAAAATATTAAGATACAAATAAAAAAAGTATAATATTTAAACCTTACGGCAATAAATTGTAAAAGATATTTTTCGAATTTCTACATTTCTGCAGTACATAAGATAAATGGGAAAGCTAGAAGAAGGTTCATGAACATAGAATTATAAAGATGATACATCCACTTATCTTGAATCATGATTTTTTTTTCATTCATAACTTATATAGAACATGTAAGTTCTCAATTAAATGGATACCTGTCGTAATCTCTAGACTCCCTGGAGCGACTGTTTCTACTGCTTGATCTTGATCTAGATCTCTTAGAACCCAAGTTATTGGTTCTTGAAGGATTCCCTGATCTGGATGAAGGTTCGGTTGTTCTATTTGAACCAATACCAGCTAAACAAGTTCTACTCCGCAACTTTCTGGATCTAAGACACATTATCCTATCTATCAAGCACAACAGATATGATTCCTTCTCAAAAAAGTGCTATTTTTGGAGGATAATTTGAAATTTTGTTCCTTCAGCATTTTAGTTTATTAATTGAGTACTTTAATTACAAAACGATATGGCAAAGTTCCTACCTATCCTCTGTGCTGGGTCTATAACTAGGCTGATCTTTAGGAATATCTTTAGATCTAGAGTTGGGACTGAGATTAACGTCACGAACTCCAATTCCACCTAGACTTGTTCTGCTGCGAACCTTAGGCCTGATAAAATCAGAAAGTTTAATCAAATCAGAACAAGACTATAAATGACTAGCTGGAGAACCCGGAGTTCACAGGTTTTTAATATTAATTATGTCATGTCATAATTTCTCCCGCCATTTACCCGCACTGTGTATTGAATTATGGTGTTATGAATAGTACCCGGCGTTCCCCGTGGAATTACCAAAACTTAATCTTTTAAAACCATTCACACGTGGGTTCCCTAAAAGAAATGTCAGCCGTTTGGCCAGCTATAGCAAACATATTTATATTTAAATTGCACAGCATGAAAAATAATGTTGATACAATTAAAAATTTAAAATCAAGTATTTTCTTACAAATATATATAATTTAAGATTTTTATTATGTAGACTATAACTATACTATGGATAGAAAGATTCCAAGGAGTCTTAAATGAAATACTAATGATAAATGAACTTTACATTTTCATTATATTGAAGTTTCATAGCTTAAAAAACCAACATCCCTTCCATCTGCACAAGTGTGAACAAACTTGTAATTGCCGAGGTTTAATTTCATTTATCATAATTAATAAAATATTCCTTGTCTCTTTGTTGTGCTTGGTCTGTATACTATAATTGAAGATATTAAAAAAGATTTTTGTGTTTATTTGTTTCAGAGAGAGAAAAATTAGTCTTTCTATAAAAGGAATCACCTTAAATTTACTTCCACAAAGAACTTGAATCCCAATGATTTTCATTGGAATGGATGACAAATAGATTACCTGTCCTGGTCCTTCTTGGTGTTGAAGCATGGGCTTGCAGACTTAGACCTACATCTCCTTGCAACTTGAATTCTGTGCCCTGGGGAAGATTGATCATTTGACGAAGGTTTCTTCAGTACTTGGATCCCAGCTAAGCTCGTCTTGCTTCGTAATTTACGTGGCCTAAATATCAAATGTCAAAATGCCGTTTTTCTATATGGTTGTACTGTCTTGATCGAGAAGAAAAAATTAACCCCGTAGGTTAGCTATTCCGCATAAAAAAGAAACCGCCTCAGAATCAACTAAAAGTTTTAAATAATGTCCTTAACTCTGTGTCAAACATCTCTGATATGGATTTGAAACCCCGCAAAATAAATTATAAATTATAAATAATAAAAAAGATAAAAATTTAAAAAAAATTATCATAACATGGAAACAATGTCAATTGATAAAATAAGATTATTAATGTTAATATATTAGTCATAGAGGACTGTTGTGTGCATTTTAAGGGGGGAGGGGCACAGAGGGCCATTCCTAAGGGGTACAAAGGGGTGCCAGCCCCCCCCCCCCACCACCAAGGATACTTAATGAAATGTTGATAACTTACATGATAATGATAGAGTAAAGTAAATTTGAAACAACGTCGACAACCTAAATAAATTGCAAAAATCAATTACATGGGTTTAAAATGTAAATATATTTACGTTAGTTCTGTTCAGGACAGACATAAATTTGAAAAATAATTTTTATTTTAAATCGATAACAGCTCTGTTCTGTATTACCTGAATTACCAGATATCAAACCACAAAGCCCTACATCAGATCTGAAAAGTTTCTCTTTCTGAAAATATAAATATGAGAGGGTAATTTCAAGTGACCCGGTCCATGCAAAAATGGAAATGTCCGATTCACAACTATACCCTTAAAACCTTTCTCTGGTCAATAATGCGGTTTCAAGGTTTGGTCGTTTTTAAAATTAAACGTGATAAATCATTTTCCCCTGCAGTAGAAATGCGCAAGATAAACCACAATTTAATAATCCGTTTTCATGGGAAGTGGGGCCATTGTGAATATGGCTTTGTCATACATGTATGACATTCGTATATGATACGTATTTTTAGGTTTGGAATACGTAAAAATACGTATTTTTCATACGGAACCATTTCCTTGGTAAAAATAGCTATTTTATATCCATAAAAATACGTATAGGACAAACGTAAAAATGCGTCTGTAAAAAATCAAATGAATCAGGAATTTTAGGTTTTTCCTCTACGTAGATTTGAGTTTAAAAAATCCTAACATTTCTTAATTTTGGAATTTATAGGTTTTACCTATACGTAAAAATACGTAATACATTATTAAGGCATACTCGAAATGTTAAAAAGTTTACTTTAACTTAGCATGCACATTATTCTTTCAAATCTATAAAACTAGTTCCATAAATTTCTTAAATCCATCTTCATATTTAATCCAATCCAATTTTCTTCTACACAAATTCACACCATCATCATCCGTTCATCTGTATCCATCTAAATCAACATTAATACACTTTTTGTGTGTATCTTCCACAATTACGTATTCATTGTCTGTTATACTTCATACATTTCAATAGAATAGCCGTTGTACCTGTTACAAGACTGTCAAAGTAGAACTTCTATTTATCAAAAAATCGAAAATTTACTGACTTAGAATCTAATGAAAACATCAATTTAGTAAAAAATGTGTGCATTAAACTTCTTACAGAACAATTCTCTTGAAAAATCATGAAATATTTTTAAATTTTAACTTTAAATTGCATTTTTGTGCAGTTGAGGTTTCGGGAATATACAGTAAATTAGTCGGCATGAAATTTACGAAATTTTTTTAGGTTTGCATCAAACTTTTAAACTATAAAAAATACAATTTTTTCAGTAGAGAAAAAAACGAAAAAATAACAAAAATATGTAAAATAAAAACCTAACAACTTTCAAAAATTATTTGTTATGAAATTCACAAAAATAAACGTATTTTAAGGTTAGCATCTTTTGAACTCTAAAAAAAACAAAAAATAAAAACCTAAAAACGTTGAAAATCATTTGGTATGAAATTTACAAAAATATACTTATTTTAAGTTTTAAATCAAAATCATAAACTCTAAAAAAATGTTTAAGTAAAAACCGAAAATTATTTGATAAGAAATTTACGAAAATATACGTATTTTTGGTTTGCACCAAACTTTTAAACTCTAGAAAATACAACTATTGAGTTTAAAGAAATAAAAGAAAAAAAGCCGTAAAAATACGTAAAATGAAAACCTAAAAAACCTTAAAAAAATTATTCGTAAAAAAAAACTTTTCTGGACAACCAAAGCAATTTAGAAAAAGACTTAAATATACGCAAGTTCTTTACCAAGTATCAACTTCTTACTTAAATATACCTAACAATACGTATACCTATAGAGAGACTTTAGTATTTAAAGGTTACGGGTCAACAGGGTTGGAAAGTTCCCTAGAGGACGCTTTTTAGACCCCCCCTCCTACAATAAATTTTGTACACAAGCTCATACATTTCACATGACAAAAGTTAGACATGTGGCCGCAGCGCGCGGCTCTCCATCATTTTCTTGCCGCGGCGCTCGGGCACCTAGCCAGCCCTAGCCATGGCCCAAAAAGTGTCTTAACCTAACCTAACTCTGAGACAATACAAAAATAATTATTAATTGATATTTGGAGGGACGCTAAGTCAAAAATTATAATATTGCTCTGATCGTTTAGAACCTTATATCTCAACTTAATAATACGAGGAGTTTAAGGAGGAATAAATCGAACTAAATCCGAAAAGAACCCCTAAGCCGGCCCTAGCGCCACGAGCAATTCCAAAATATTAAACTAAAGGCACGGATCGATTATCGATTCATTCCACTCCAACTCCCGTGAAAAGCACAAAGCAAAAATAGCTTCATCAAGCCAACGTAGAACCTTAAATATATCTGGATAACCCTAAATTCCCGCTACTCGCTTCTCAAAAAGTAAATTATACGGCTATCGCTCGGTCAAAATAATATCCAAATATCTTATAACTATTCGGTTTTCTAAAACTGATAGTGATCCATACTGTACAGTACAGTATTCTGATTCATAAGTTTCATCCCGTTCTTCTTCACTACGTGCAATATTTTTAATAATGAATCATCTTTGGAATTCGAGTTTAGACCAAGAACCGGTTTTTGAGAATGTACGTACGTTGGAGACAAGGGCGTTAAAATTATTGCTGGGGGGGAATAGTCAAATTTTCATTTAGAAAAATCCTGAAAAACATGGCTAATAGTTGACATAAAACAGCAACTATTTTTTCCCGAAATTGCAAATAGTCCCAAGATAACCTCGTACTGATAATTTATTACCCCTTATATATTTGTAATGAAAGTGAAGACGATATATTGTTAGATTTCCGCGGCAATAACCGCTAACTTGCACAGTCTTGATTCAACCAATCACAGCAGGATCCTTACAACTAGTTGAATTCCGAACCAATCAAATCAATGGAAATTCAAATACAAAGTTTTAGTTCATTCTCTGTGTTACAATGGCGGGCGGCGTCAAAATAATTTACGCAATAATTCAGCCGTCAAACATGTTTAAACTTTTTGGGTGACTTATAAATTATTAATCTTGTAGTATATTGCATCGAAACGAAGTGATTAAGTGCTTTACATTCAGTGAAATAGTTAATTTTTGCACATTTGAGTGTTAATCTAGATCAGTTAAAGTTACTAAATTGTCGGGTTACCATTTTATCAGGTTACTAAATTATCAGTTACCGGGTCTGTCCTAGTGAACGATTTTTGATGAAGAATCCTTACAGTGCCTCCTGGTATACCAATCAAATCTACATGGATGTCGTCACCTGGGTATTTATTTACACTTCTATCTCCCTGCCAGTTATTCAGCAGACTGGAAGTAACCAAAACCGGATGTCGGATACCAGTCTTGAACGAATGGAGTTGAGTCTTGCAAGAGGAACATGGATAAACTCCCCACCTTCTTGGAGCGGAAGACATTCGCAATGATTTTGAAGAGTTATGATTGTGGAAGATGACCTGGCCCTGTGGGAAGACAGAGGAAGAATATTCGGAACATATGCTGCAGTACTTCTTTCCTAGATGAAAATTTTTCTTCCTGATATCGCTGTAGTTCTTGATTTTGGATTTAACGAATGTAGCAGGCTCTGTAGATTTTCGTTTTCTACTAATCTCTTCAAGTAGATTCTCAGGGGAACTGTTCGGATCCAGGTTCTCTCCTGGGTAAAGTGAGGTTCCGTACCCCGGAGGAATCGCCGGTGGGGGGCTGCGGAGGTCAGGTAGCTTAAACATGGAGCTTGTCCTCTCTTTTGGCTGTGGATAAGTGTGCTTGTGAACCGGGATACTCTGCTCCATCTGTAATATATGTAGGAGTAATACCGGGAAAAGGCTGATTTTGAATCTCAAGAAGTATTGCAATATTAGTATTACAGGTTTTAACAATACTAAAATGATAAGTTTAGGAAGTAGCATTTTAAGGATGGGCTCATTTATTGATCAAAAAGCACATGAACAAACGAAAATTTGTTTTATATATATACCAACGTGTGCAGACGAAAACAACAAAAAACTATATCGGCAAAGATTAATAAAACAAAATACCGATGCCAAAATAGTAGCAATTTAAGAACTGGCTAAATCATACAGAAAGCTTCATTTAAGCATGGTTTAAAAGGCAACATTCTTTTGAGGCAGATGGAGACGATTGCGGAGAGAGCTGGTATTAAAGATCCAACAGCGTTGCACCATTGTTTCTTTTTAAGATTTAAAAATATTTGAAAGACAAAATTAAAGTTTTGCACCATCAACATAGAGTTATAGCTTTGCACCATAGAGACAACTGCGGAGAGAGCGGTTATTGTAGATCCAATAACTGTGCACCATTGTTTCTTTTTAAGGATTAAAGATAAGTTGATAAACTTGAAATTCAATTTAAGAAATAGAATTGGACAATGATGGACAAAATCTGATAAAGGGGATGGTGGAGTTGGCACATTTGATGTAGGGGGGGGCCCTGCCTTCATTTTTAGTTCAAATCTTCCAATTTTTTGGGTGCACGCCTAATTAGTGATCGAAATTCCTAAAATAAAATCAAATTGAATTTTAATGACCTCTAATGACCTCTAATGACCTCCAACCTACTGAAGTGTGGGTTTGTAAAGGATATTTACTTTATTTAATTAATTAGGTACATGAATCTCCATCATACAAAATTATGTACATGCAAAGGTTATTTGCATCCTACTTAATTGATTATTAGTTAATAACTTAGTGTAAAGGATATTTACATTAACCTGATTTATATACCTGTACTAGATGGGAACATCTTATTAGACTAGCTACTAATAAAGATTGTTTACTACATAATGGGACGAGCAACTAGACTCAAGCGTGCTCAATTCCACAAATTAGAAGGCAAGAAACGTCAGATAAGACAAGTGGCCAGTTCTCTCAGTTGCGTAATGTGGAATTGTAATGGTTTAATGCGGGATGCTAAGCCACTGCAGATAGCTGAGGTGTTTAATGAATATAAAATAGATATCATGTGCATATCTGAAACTCACCTAAGAGTAGGTGCGAACGAAGATCTCTCTTGCCTTTCGAATCATACTTTGTATTTCAAAGAAAGAGAGGGATTAGCAAAGAAGGGAGGGGGACTGCTAACTATAGTAAAGCGAGGGGTGAATCATTCCAGGTATTCACCACCACTCCCATTATTCCCATATCTTGATTCGGAAAGAGAATGGATCCTTATTCATGAGGCTAATGCCCAAATTGCATTATGTTTTGTGTATTGTGCAGCAGAAATTGGGGGTGAGGATTTTAAAACTTGGAATCAGGAGTTGATGGCAATGATACAAACAGAACTTGACACTCTGAAAGAGCAAGGGTATCTCCCGTTGTTAACGGGGGACTTCAATGCTCATGTGGGGAATGACAGTCAAGGAATACCAAGGAATAACAAGGATATAAACTGGAATGGTAGGCTAGTTAGAGAGTTTATTCATAACAACAACCTGTCAATTGTAAACAAAGACCCTGTACGATGTACTGGGGTGTTCACCAGGATAACATCTAACTCAATGTCAATCCTAGACTTGGTGCTTGAAAACAATGCTGATCAACTGGTTGATAAGCTTGAGATTGATGAATACAACGATGTTTTGGGTGGAAGCGATCATGCTGCACTGTTCTTTACGGTGAGAATACCAAGGAATTTGCAGAATCATGATGTCAATCTTGATAAAGAAGAGTTTATCAGAGGTCCCGTTGCCTCGTCAGCAGATAGTTTCAAGACTGTGTTTGAAACGGAAATAAATCTAGATAACTGGGATAGTCTATCCACGCAGGAAAAGTGTTCAATTTTACAGAAAGCTTTGTTGAATGCATCTAAAAAAGCATGTAGCCAGAGTACACTAAGGAAACCAGGCGGCCGAACTAACAAATCTGTGAGAACTCTGTTAGATAAATGCAAACAGGTTGAAGCGGGGGTGAAGAGACTCAACAAGGAAAGATTGTCCGGAATGTTTATTGGTCCAGACGAAGACAAAAAGTTTAAAAAACTTGATAAAATGAAAGTACAAGCCAAATCATTAAGAGTAGCGCTTTGTTGCATGCTAGCTAAACAGCGTAAACGAAGAAGATTAAGGCTGGCCTTTCACCATAAACTAACAGCTAAACAATTCTGGAGCTTGGTTAGACGAGTGGAAAGAAAGGCGGGCTCTCTCACTGCAGTAGCTGACACAGAAGGACAGTTAGCTACTGATAAGGCTAGGATCGAAAGGATAGTACTTGAGGAATTGGAAAAAATATTCTCAGGTAAACGGTCGCATATCTTCTCCCATAGGGGAGAGCAATTGATTAAAGAACTGACCACCAAGGACAAAATGGGATGGAAGGAATGGATAAAAGAATCTACCAATCCCAACCAGCATGAATCTACGGTGTGTTCAAAGGTCTCTGAACAGGAGATTGCAGGAATCATAAACAAGTTGAAACTCCAGAGAGCCCCGGGAGTTGACGGAATAACCGTCTCAATGCTGAGATATGCTGGTCCTCTATACGTAGCCCTAATGACAGACCTAGTCAACCAAATATTGAGAGAAGGGCAAGTTCCAGAGGCACTTTTAGTGGGTAAGATGACTCTGATAGACAAAAAACAGCCTTCGCTTCTTGTGACACAAAAGCGCCCACTCACGGTTTCGTGTGTGATGCTTAGTGTTATCACAAAGGTACTACATGGGAGAATGGATAAGATATGCGAGTCAAAAGGATATTATGGTAATATCCAGTATGGCTTTAGATCAGGCCGTTCCACCTCGGATTGTGTATTCATGCTGTTAGCGGCGATACGAAAGGCTAAGAGCAAAGGCCACACAATTTCAATCGCATTTTGCGATATCGCAAAGGCGTACGACTCAGTGAATAGAGAGCTCCTATATGCCAAATTAGATTCTCTGGGGTTTGGAGGCAAGGTGAAAGCCCTCATCCAATCAATGTATTACAATGACTGTGTGAGGGTGCGTATTGCAGGGTGCCTTTCTGCTCCTCTTTGGTTTACGAGAGGAGTCAAACAAGGGTGTGTACTTTCACCCTTGCTATTCGCTTTGTATGTGTCTGGACTAGGAACAGTATTACATTCAATGAAGGAAGGAGTCAATTTTGATGGAGTAATACTCTCAGCTCTTTTCTTTGCAGATGATCTAGTGTTGATCTCCAGGACTAAACGCAGAGGCATGGAAAACATGTTAAGGTCAGTGAATAGGTTTTGCCTAGGAATGGACATGAAACTGGCTGTGGAGAAAACAGTTATGTTAACATCAGGACCATCAGGTACCTCCTGGAAAGTGACAGATGACAATCCATGCGTTGAGGCCGTACTGGTTGGTAAATATCTAGGTATTGAAATCCAAGTCAAAGGAAGAAACCTCATCAAAGGCCGAGAGGGTAAGATGGTAGCAATAGCCCAAAAATATGCAAACGCAGTGATAGGGCTATCCAGGAATGGTTTAGACAGAGCAGTAGCGGCTCACGCTCTGTGGGAAAGGTGTGCCATTCCAGCAATACTATACTGTGCAGAGTCAATGGTACTCTCGAAGGGAGTATTAGAGAACCTAGACAGAATTCAACACATGATTTCTAGGTTCATTCTGCAACTTCCAAAATCCTCGGCTAGAATTGCAGGGGCTCTAGATGCTGGGCTAATGCCAATGAAAGACAGGGTTATGATACGCACAGGGATGTTTGTTTGGAATATCATGAACAAGAAAAACGACAAAATCCTTAAAGCTGTGTTTGATTCAGTAATGAGGTCACCGTTAGATTCATGGGCTAGGCAGGTGGAAGCTCTGAAAGAAGCGGTGGGGGGTCAGCGGTTAGCTGGCCCCAAGAGGCTGCTGAAGAGTAGCTTGAAGGGTGTAGCAGTCAATAATATTCTCTCACAGAAACGAGAGTTATCTTCCTTGGCCTGTATGCCACAACCACGCCAGTGGTTCAAACTCCAGGGTCATGTAGATGACAGTGTAGAGATGCGCACTTTCAATAGGGTCCGAGTAGGTGATGTTGGTTTGGGTAACAGAAGACCAAACCCTAGGGGAAAAATATTCTCGCATTGCCCTTATTGTCTTAATAAAGGAGTGTTGTGTAAACTAACAGAACACCATGTCATAATCGAATGCTTGAGTATTAGCTATGAGCGCAACCAATTTAATATCCCGGAATGTCTAGTCAACTCATTAGGGTCTAAAACCACACTAAGGAAGTATCTAGGGGAGGATAATGCGGGAGTACCAGAGCTGCGTATACGAGCTAGTCACATCCACAACATCATTGAGCGTTGGCAGAATATCACGACACCCTTTTAACTTCCAGGTAGCTACTGCTTCTCGCCTCACTTTTGATTCCATCAGGATGTATGGCTAGACAGCGTCTGGTTTGTACCTGCCTTAATTAAATTTCCTTGGAGTAGGGGGAATGAGATTAGGGTGCCAGATTGAATCGGTCGGGGATTCAGCACCTGACTGAGTCCCCTTCTCGGAGTCGGTCTGGGGATCCCACGTTGGGGGTCTTCCACGATCTATCTTTCATTTCATTTCATACATCTCAAGTAGAACTAGAGATATATCTCAAGTAGAACTAGAGATACATCTCAAGTAGAACTAGAGATACATCTCAAGTAGAACTAGAGATACTTCTCAAGTAGAACTAGAGATACATATCAAGTAGAACTAGAGATGCATCTCAAGTAGAACTAGAGATACATCTCAAGTAGAACTAGAGATACATCTAAAGTAGAACTAGAGATATATCTCAAGTAGAAATAAAGACACATCTCAAGTAGAAATAGAGATACATCTCAAGTAGAACTAGAGATTCATCTCAAGTATAAATAGAGATATCTTAGCTTATCATATGTAACCAGTGATTTAGCTCAAGTATGGCCAGAGATATATCGCAAGTATAATCAAAGATGTATCCGTACAAGTAGAAATTTATCTCAAATTATAATGAAAAATATGACAATTTGATGAACAAATGCCGCCTAAAGAGACTGTAAGCGTAATTTCAAGCCATCTTCCATGCAAAGATGTCCAATTTACATTTCACTCATAAAATCTTTAATCAAGAAATTATCAATTACCATCTTTGCATAGAGGATCATTTGAAATTGTGCTTGCAATTCCCTTAAGAGGACAAATAAAAATTGTCTATAATTATTATTGGAAAAAATATTCCTTGATGAAATATAAATGGATGAATATCAGGACCTCTGGAGGATAAAACTGTAACTATTGTGTATGGAACAGAATTTACAAATGTCAGCTTCATCAACTTCTGTACAATCAAGGTAAAATAATGTATAACCTACTTGTGACCGCGGTTTTCCGTCCCGAGGCATATATCATTATTGCAATGCACAATGCATGGCGAACAGCCCGATGCTGAGCATATATTAGTTTGATTGAAAGGGATCGGCCTGATGTTGGTTTTCTATTGCTTCAAGAGGCATTAGAAGTGTCATCTAAAATGTCATGAAAATTTTTAAAATATAAAAACAATTTTTCTCATTTTTTTTTTTTTTTAATTCAACAGGCAACGCCAGGCACTTCAGCTTGTAATAATAAATAGGAATACTAGCCAGAAAACCTAGCTTTGTCTGAAATAAAAATAGACCCGCTCATTGTAGAGCTTAAAACCCATCTAAGAACATACCCGTGGTTCTACCGAGTTTCCCTTATCAAAATTTGATGCGAATCGGTCCAGTGCAGGGGTTCATGAGTTATGATGGGACATTCAAACAATCCAACAGACAGAGAGACAAACTGAGATTACTAATTTGTAATATATATATATATAAAGATTATTTGTGCCATTAACATTAATTAATGAATATATTAAGAAATGGAGTCTTGGTCAAAAACTCCAAATGTATAATTCCTATATCTTTGCAACCTGATGTATCAAACTTGGATTATTTGATCTGTGTCCTAATTTAATGAATTTAAGCCGCTTCTCAAATCCTACAAAAACCGGTTTAAATTTAATTCAATTTTAAGTGGAACTATATTTGAGCCCCGGCTTAAATTTAAGCCGCGGATCAAGTTCTTTAAATTCGGCCTCTAATAAAATAATATAATTCTTAGTTGGAAATTTCTAAGGTCTAGGATATTGAGTGGCAAAGATTTAGGAGTAAGGAAATCGGAGTTTGTGGCAAAGATTTATAACTAAGAAAATCAGAATTTGTGGCAAAGATTTAGGAGTAAGAAAATCAGAGTATGTGTCAAAGATTTAGGAGTAAGAAAATCAGAGTTTGTGGCAAAGATTTAGGAGTAAGAAAATCAGAGTTTGTGGCAAAGATTTAGTAGTAAGGAAATCAGAGTTTGTGGCAAAGATTAAGGAGTAAGAAAATCAGAGTTTGTGGCAAAGATTAAGGAGTAAGAAAATCAGAGTTTGTGGCAAAGATTTAGGATTAAGGAAATCAGAGTTTGTGGCAAAGATTTAGAAGTAAGGAAATCAGAGTTTGTGGCAAAGATTTAGGAGTAAGGAAATCAGAGTTTGTGGCAAAGATTTTGGAGTAAGAAAATCAGAGTTTGTGGAAAAGACGAACATAAATCAATGAATATAACTTCCCCGTTGTTTATAACCCTTCAGATGTGCTTCTTTTACTGCTATTCCATTAAGGTGGAGCTCGCTCAACTCTGGTGCCATGAACTCTGGAAATATGTCAGGTATATTATTAGTATTATTATTATTTTGTATAAATTCAGTTCTTAGTATATACATCTGCTTTTTTAGGCAAATGCCGGTTCTCATGATTGATTGATTGCTATTTGTTTGGTTGCTATTTGATTATATAATTCATTAAACGATCTTTTTTGTTTTGATTTATGAATGTATCGCTAATAGTTATTCGCTTGATTTCTATTTGATAACATATTTGATAGAATGATTGATTGTTTGTTATTTGCCAACATGATTGCTTCATATTTGTTAACGTTATTGATTTAATAATTATTGATTGACAACGCCATCCATGGTTTGTTTGTTATTTGTTAATTTTATTGATTCATTGGCATTTGATAACATGATTCATTTAAACTATTTGTCATCATGATTGATTAATTGGTTGATAGCTATTTGACAACATGATTGATTGATTAGGGCTCTGAATCCCTTGTCGATGACTGGAAGTCAGTGTCTTCTGAAAATCCATCGTCAACTTCTCCTCAGCTCAAGGTAGGAAAACATGGTAGAGAAAAAATTAGAATAAGTAATAAAAAAATTAGTACAAACTAGGAAGACCATGAAAAACAAGGAAAAACTAATAAATTACAAGATAGGAAAAAGGGAGGTAAAAACGAAAAAAAAAAGTTGATATAAAGAAAACAGCAAAACAAAATTAAGTCGTCTTTAGAATTCTAAATGTTACTTTGAACGTACTCATTCATGTTTAATTAAATAGTTGGAGCTTACTTCGTCATCATTCGTCAACTGTAAATGATTAGAAATATTTTTAAGAAATAGATATGGAATCCAATTGCTTTTAACCACGCAAAGGTTGTCAGATTAAGAAATTTAAACCTTTTACAAACTGTAAGTCCACATATTACCTTTGATTTAGTAAATTTACAGAAAGTTTGATTTTATTTTCTTGAAAAATCCTTTCCCTCTTTTAAAATAATAAAATCCTCAAATGTTATGTTAAGTTTGTTTGGAGAAAAAATTGGTGACATAATACCAAAATTGGACTTTCTCTTTTAAATTTGCAATTGAGTTTATTTTAAAAAGGTGCCCTGAATATTTTTAAAAGGTGCCCTGAATATTTTAATAAGGTGCCCTGAATATTTCAAAAAAGGTGCCCTGAATATTTTTAAAAGGTGCCCTGAATATTTTAAAAAGGTGCCCTGAATATTTTAAAAAGGTGCCCTGAATATTTTAAAAAGGTGCCCTGAATATTTTAAAAAGGTGCCCTGAATATTTTAAAAAGGAGCCCTGAATATTTTTATACATTCATAATTTGCAACAATTGCAAAAGGAAGAACCAAGACGACATTCAGTCCCCTGATATCTGGTTCTCACTGTATTTATCTATCTAGGGAGGACAAGAAGATACCTGCGAAGGCTGTACAGAAAATATTTGCACAAAGCAAGGAGGACAGGAAGATTGTAGAGAAGGAAGGATTGAAACAACAAATTATGTTCGCCATTTTTTAATACAGTCATAATCAGAAAGACCCGGAATAAAATTAATCAGACAACTTAACAAAATAAGTTTACAAATATGAAAAATAAAACCCTAACTCCAAAACAGCCATAGTCCTAGCAACTCCAAAATGTGGTCTGCCTTTATTGTGCGTTTTAAGTTACCAGAGATATTTAAGTAAAGTCGTCTGGATGACTCAATTTTTTGCGGGTCTTTCTGGTTATAACTGTACAAAACATTTTTATTTGACCTTTTTAAACGTCCTTAAAGGCATGAATATTGAATTACATTTCAGTTAAGTGAAAATCACTCACCATTTAAAAGAAAATCAAGGGGTAAAAATTAAAAAAATTACCATGTTATTTTTTTTGCAAAAATGTTTCAATTCCTTTCTGCCAGGCCCTGGATCAGGCTGGTCTTCCTAGTGGTAAAACTGATGAGATTAATAGAACTAGTTTTCAGGGATATTTATTTTATCCTAGAAGTTCGAATTAAAGGGACGGTCATTGTATTGTCAAGTGACCTTCCAATTAAAGGGCGGCCGGGTATGCCTGATTCACAACAAACCTTTAAATATTCATCCGATCAATGATTTGAAACATTGTCGGTTTTGTTTAGCCAGATACATGTTAATTACTCATTTTTATCCCTTCTTTCTGAAGCGTGAAATCCGCAAGTCACTTACATAGAGAAACAAAAATTAAAAATAACTGATTTTTAACGAGAATCATGGTTTTCTTTTTGTCTTTTTCTAACAAAATTTTAAGGTTACCATTGTGAATCGAACATAAATGGAGCGGCATTTGAACTTCCGTCTACAGTCCCAATAAATATATTGGCGTTTCTTTATATCCATTAAACGCAAAAACGTTAAATGTTTTTCGGGACCTTTAATGACTGCAGAGATGGTTTATGGGTCGTCATAATCACGGATTTCTTTATACAAGTTTACCAACAAAAGCAGGAAAATCGTGCAATCTTCAATTTTTATTTGTATAATGGCACGTTTTTTGAACAGCCCTCTGATTAAGAAACCTGATACATGTTAAAATATGATAAATATTATTAGTTTGAGAACTTTAAAGAGTTCTATCTCAAGCTGGTTCAAAGGAAGGAAGTTAAACAGATATTTGATACAATAGCCAACACAGATAAAACGGAAAGATCAGAAACAACCAAAAATGTGATCAGAGTTAAGGAGTTTTTAGGTTAGTATTTAATAGCATTGACAAAATAACGTGTTTGTAGCAGTGCTTAGGAAAAAATGCGGATCCACGGGGTAAAATATCAACTAAAATGCAAAACAATAAACTTTTTTAATCCTAAACTCAAATCTGATTTTTTGAAAAAAGAGAGATTATAGAAATTTCCTCATTTCTGAATGGTTCATCAAGTTTTAGGATAAAAATAAGCGAAAAAAATAAAACAAAAAGTTTGAAAATTATTTGTTCTTATATAAATTCAGTAAATCAAATCATCAAATCAAATGGATCCTTAGCACTGGTATGCTGGGAATTCTGGGTTTGAGGGTCCAAAGCAAGTCTATCTCAGTATCGTTATTTTGTCGAATGTGTAGAATGTAGATGCTATAATTTTAATTAAGGGGAGGGGGAATATTATTCTTAGATAAATATTATCGAGTTATGGTGTAATTTTCATAAATTACCCGAAAATTATCTGTAAATTGTCCAAACACGTTTTTATAGATGCATTAATGAATGCTGACGAGGATTTTGTTTAGATTTCTTGAACAATCAGCAACGTGATCCACGGTTAAATGAGATTCTACATCCGTATGCTACAGAAGAGAAGGCTCTTAATATTATCAAGCGATATGAACCAAACAGGTTTGTTCAGAACTTGGTCTAGGGTCAGAACTTAGTCTAGGGTAGTGTTCAGAACTTGGTCTAGTTTAGTGTTCAGAACTTGGTCTAGGATAGTGTTCAGAATTTGGTCTAGGATAGTGTTCAGAACTTGGTCTAGGGTATTATTCAGAATTTGGTCTAGGATAGTGTTCAGAACTTGGTCTAGGATAGTGTTCAGAACTTGGTCTAGTTTAGTGTTCAGAAATTGGTCTAGGATAGTGTCCAGAACTTGGTCTAGTTTAGTGTTCAGAAATTGGTCTAGGATAGTGTTCAAATTCCATTTTTCATATTTTCTCCCATCACTTAGAAACAAAATTCGGAAATTATGGGAAAAAATAATCAAATTTCTATGAAATGAATCTAATGTACGTGTTTCCAAGAGTTCTTTTGTTGTGTAAATTCATTATCTTCTTTTTCAGCCATCTGGCATCTCTGGGAGAAATAAGTTTTGAAGGTTTTCTCTGGTATCTTCTCTCCGACGAAAACAACGTCATTTCACAGGATAAGGTAATTTTTTGAAAATTTAAGGATTTTTAACATAAAAATAAATGTTTTTTGCAAAGTATAAGTAATAACCTTTTCTTTTATCTTTTTGAAAGTTACACGTAGAAAAATTTACTGGAGATATCCTTGATTTTACGTTGTAAAATGGATAATTTTCATTTTGGTGCTCTTTAAATTTAATTTGCGGATTTTTGTTGGAAGGAAATTGACAGGCGAAATCTCTTTTCAAGATTGTAAAACGGGAATTGAATTGGGGTGTTGATGTTTAAAATATTGCATTTACGCTATATCCAAGTTGATGCGCTGCACCTTGAGGTCGGTCTGGGGGTTCAAAATCGGGTTTGCTTTCAGATGTTGTTATTATTTCTTATTCTTTATGTTCAGTTGGAGAAGAATGAAGATATGGACCAGTCTTTGGCGCATTACTTTATCAACTCCAGCCATAACACTTACCTCACGGGACATCAGATCACAGGTTCATTATATTTTTAGGGATTTATGTACACTGTACACTATACAAAACTTGATTAAACCTAAAGGAGAGAAAAGAGGTAAGACTTTTAGTACAACAAAAATATTATTTTTAAAATATTTTAATACCAGATGCCCTGTTAAGTTTACACTAAAAACCTTACCCTAATTTCGATATTGCAATTTTTAATTTTTTTCCCAATTAATCACAAATCATTTCCCCTTTCAAAATTTTCGTTCTCCGCAAGCATAACGTAACTTTTGGGGGATAAAAAAGGAGGGTATTATTTTTCAAGAAAAATGTACGTCCCTGTTTTTTTTATGAGGTATCGGCATTCCGCTTTTATGGCATTCATTTTAGGGCGCGCAAGTCGAGAAATGTACCGGCAGGTTCTGCTGAGCGGATGCCGGTGTATTGAACTTGATTTCTGGAACGGACAGAAGGAAGACGACGAGCCGCACATTACTCATGGATACACTTTAGTCACTAAGGAACACAAAAAACAAACATTTGTACTAACAAAAATATTTAAGAAACAAACTGTGTAAACCAGACAACTTTGAAATAAGAAGACGACTTGTAGATTCACGTTATGATCTTATAGTGCAATGAACATGAAACACAGCAATGTATACTGACCCGTTCCCCATAATAAAAGATTGTATAGCTGCAATAAATCTAGGTTCCAAGATTACGCTACTCAAAGTCTAATTACAGTCTCCCTGACTCTATCTCTAGCCAAAATTCAAGGCTCCCAATCTCTAGCCAAAACTCAAGGCTCTGTATACGTCCGTCTAACACAACGTTTCATGTAGTACTAATTTATTTATATATACAGGTAAATCAAACTGACCGGATTGGCCGGTCAGGGTTACATTGAAATAGATAAGATATATTTATAACATGGATAATAAAGATCGTGATAAACATTACAACAGAAAATGCTACATAGCTACCTAGAAAAACTATTTGTTTCAGCTACATCAAAAATACTTGCTTAGCTTTCATTTCGTCTTCTGATTCTTCTGATTCTCACCATATTTGAAAATAAAGAAAAATTCTTATATTTAATTTTCCTAATTTTTGATATTTGTGTTTTGATAGTTGGCGGCTAAAAAAGTGTTGGAGACCATTGCTACGTATGCTTTCAAAACTACAGACTATCCTCTCATTCTTAGCTTTGAGAACCATTGCAATCCTAAGCAGCAAGCTAAACTTGCTAAATATTGCGAGGAATATTTTGGTGATTTGATGTTACAGGTAAAAATACTAAAAAAAGATATAGATAATTGCGTAATTTTTCGTTACATTGCTATAGAGTCAAAAAGATGTCTTGCGCAATCTTTTTTCTTTCATAGTTTACCAAGTTAATAAAATTATTAATTTGAATTTACTAAAGTTTTCTTGTAATATCATAAAAATTATACAGAAAAAATTGTTATAAAACTAAACTTTATAAAGATTGGTATGTGCCATTGCACAATTTGCACAAGTAATTCAGTAAAAAATTTTAAATTTACTGGCAGTTCTTGTAAACGATATAAGTCTATTGTCTGATTAGGCCTTATTTTTAAATTTTACACTGATTAAAAATCAGCTAGGGAGGGTGCAACTTTAACCCTTTATTTATGACCTACTACCTGACCATACACTAGGGAGATTGCAACAATAATCCTGTATTTTTACCCACACCTGACCATCCACTAGGGAGATTGAAAATTTAACCCTGTATTTAGGACCCACCACCTGACCATCCACATGGAAGATTGCAACTTTAACCCTGTATTTAGGACCCACCACCTGACCATCCACATGGAAGATTGCAACTTTAACCCTGTATTTAGGACCCACCACCTGACCATTCACTAGGGAGATTGCAATTTTAATCCTGTATTTAAGACCCACTACCTGACCATCCACTAGGAAGATTGCAATTATAATCCTGTATTTAGGACCCACCACCTGACCAGTGACCATACACTAGGGAGATTGTAACTTGAACTCTTGTATTTAGGACCCACTACCTGACCATCCACTGGAACGAGGTGTTCCACTCCCCTCTCCTAATCAGCTGAAGGGAAAAATATTGATCAAAAACAAGAAACAACATCACGCCATTCACAAACCCCTGGAACCTGTTTGTAAGTTTGAAAAAAAAAAATTCTGTAGATTGGTTTTTCATCTTTGGAAATAAAATACTGAATGTTTTAGTTACCTTTACCGGTATCCTGCCTTTCATAAGAAAAAAGCTTAGAAGGACCCACTCTATCAAATCAGCCCACTTAACTTAACTTAGAATTTTGAAACCAAGCTAAATACGTTCCCGTGGTTTTACCAAGTTTCCCAGTCAATTTTGATATTACTAGTTTATTTTTCTTTAACCCTCTCCTATATTTATAAAAGATTCTTAAAATGACGATTTTTTTAATAAATTTATTTTAGCTTCAAAGCCAGTGCCAAGTCCCTCCTCTCCAACTGCCCCCGAGGTAAAATTTTAGACATTTATAGGGAGATTTTTGTCTTTTTTCTGAATTTCCAAAATTCACGAAAAAAAATTTTAACCCTATCACGGCTGTGGGGGGGGGGGAGGTTTCCCCCCACCATTCCCACCTATGGACTTATTCTTAAAAACTTAAAAACGGCTTACATTAGAATGGTTAAATTTCTTCACATCATCAACATCATAGTTTAAAAAAAATTTGGCAAAAAAAATATTTTATTCATAGGGTAGGGTGGTTGACAGTCAAACGGCGGGTCGGTCAAAATGCTTATAAATTTTTTTTATTAAGCTACAGGGCTAAACTTTTATTTTTAAAAAGACATTGAAAAATTAATGAAATATCACGTTTCACATGTTAATAATTGTCAAAATAATTATATTTAGACATTTTACGGCGTACTTTTTGAACTTTTTAAAATCTTTCCTGGCACCCTAACCATGAACTGTCTATTTTTCAATGAACAGTCTTTGAAAAGTTTGTCTATGGAGATGTATCACACTCCCCTTTCTCAACTCCAATGGCAAAATCATAGAGTGGGGGGTGGAAAACAACCCCCCCTCCTAACCCAAGCCTATATTAGACAAAAGTAGCCCAGCCTGGATAGGGTTAATGGTTTTTCTAACCCAAAAGATTTTTTTTATAAGAATTTTTATTAGCGAAATTTAAAAGTGGATTTGTGAAAATATATATTTTATTCTGATTAATATGTTTTGTAATATCAAGATCATTAAATAGTATTATTATTTTATTATCTATCTAATTAAGCTCTACGCTCATATATATGTAAGCTATAGCTTGCCAAACGGCCGGAACAAATTGGCTTAAAAAATCGTTTTTTTATTTCGAAATTAATTTTCCAAAGTTTTTCAAAATTCAAAGGGGAAAAAAATATATATTATATTTTCTAGATTCCTGTTGATCCAACCAACAACAACAATAACAACAACAGTGATAGTGATAGCAGTGATAGTGATTCTGATAGTGAAGAAGAAGATAGTGATACATCAGGTCAGTCAGTCAGTCAAGTCCATTCCAAACAAGACACTTAGATAATAGAACACCGGACAAGACAAACCGAAAACGAGGACATAGACACCAAATACATCCACTAAGAAAACAGACACGCAACGCAACAACAACGCAACAAAGACACCAAATACATTCACTAAGAAAACAGACAGTATAGACACAGACAACGCAACAAACAAAAACGGATAAAAACCGACACAGACATCACATGGACAGACTTTCAGAATTAAGCAAACACAGAAGACATACGCTATCACAGACAATACATATGACGCAGTTCAAAAGCAGACAACACGGATAAAAGAAAATACCTATGACGCAGTTCAAAAGCAGACAACACGGATAAAAAAAGACAAACCGTCTAAAAATGAAGTTTAGAAATTTTGTTTAACTTTGTTTAATTTAATGTCATGATTGTATCGAAAGCGAATCAAACTTAAACGAATTTTTCAAACCTGGTGACAAGTTACAAACTGTTAAATACAAAATAATTTGTTCAGAAAAAGCGCACAAGGAGATAGTAACGTCTGATGCAGGAACAGCAGGGAAAGAGAGCCAGGTAATATTATTATTATTGTTGTAACTTTATCAGTATTGTTATCATTATTAGTAGTATTAGTGTTGTTTGATGCAGCAATTGCTTAAACATAAATAAATTGATTGATTGATTGATTGATTTAGGCTTCTGCTGAAATTTCTGCTCTTGTAAATTACGTTCAGCCAGTACACTTCAGGTATACCTACTCAAACCCCTAGATGACTTTTCTTTAAATCCCATTAATTACGCTTTCTTCATTTCAAACTTTTTTAGATCCTTCGAGGCTGCACAAAAGCGGCGAAAAGCATTCGAGATGAGCTCGTTTGTTGAGACGAGTGCTTCGACGCTGCTGAAGAATGATCCTGTAGAGTTTGTCAAGTACAATAAGTTCCAGATGTCCAGGGTGTACCCCAGGGGCACAAGGTAGGACCATATTTAATATCCCAATTTGCTGCCAAATTTTATTTTTAATAATTAGATGGTCCAAAGATGTTATGAATTTCAAAGGACCTCTTTAGAGGGGCAAGTTCTTTTGAAGCTTTGTCTGATCAAGAGTGATATAGATATCCATATTTTTGTTTTGAAAATTGTTTATTTTAATTAGTTTTATCTTCAGTACACCCCTGAGAATAAGTTATATTATTTTGTTTTTTCAGGGTTGACAGCTCAAACTTTCTACCGCATATATACTGGAATGCCGGGTGTCAACTGGTGGCTTTAAACTACCAGGGAGATAGATATTAAAGAACTTAATCAATCAGCCAATCAGTTCTTACATTGCATAATTTAACTTTAAGCAATTTTATTTATTAATAAATTTGAATTCATGCTTCTGTTGAAAGTAGGCCTTGTTGAGAAATAAGAGCATTTTGTTCTTTTCTTTTTATTTCCAAAGATTTTTCCTTTTACGTTTTTGGGTTTGACATGGTTTTTATAATAAATGGTAAAGTGTATGCAACACTTTTGAGAAAACGTCCAAATTAAAAAATCGTATCGTTGATGATGGGTAATCCTTATTTGGAATTAGTCAATGTAGAACTTGCTATTGGGAATATGCCATGGGAAAGTATCCCTCGGAAAATATCTTCGGGAAAATACTATTGGGAAAATGGCCTTAGAATAATACCCTTGGGAACCTTGGGGGGGGGGGGGAATCTTGAGAGAACGCCATTAGGCATATCTCTTAAAAGTAAAATACACTTGGGAAAATAACTTTGAGCAATAAATTACTTGTGTAAAAATATCTGATACACGTCTACAATATTAGATGTTCTAAATATCGTTTTACAGACGTTGGATGTTGCCATGCAGCTCAATCTAGGGATCTTCCAATTCAATCAAAGAACAGGTTTGGAGTTTTATTCAATACTAGGCTTATCTAGGAGCAATTTTAGCCTCTAATAAATGTTGCTTTTCACGTCGCCATTTTTTCATGGTACTCGCAATGAACAAATCCTTCGCGCATTTTTGAATTAGTGGATTTTCTGAAATCGTAAAAACTTATTAAGCCTTTATTCCATCCCTTGGTTTATGTGATGTGTCTCAAAAAAAGTTGGGCCCGATCGTTTCAGCCGTTTTTAGTTAATTTTTTTCCTTCCTTCGTTTATTTGTTTATTATTAAGTAACTTTAGTTTTTATGCATTTATTTTTAAATTATTCTTTCAAACAAACAAATAGTATTTCTTTCATTAATTACAAAATCGGCAGAAAGTAGCTTAAAAGCAGAAATTTTGATTCCGAAAACCCTCCATTCAAGAAGTTACATATCATGTTGATAACGCTGGTATTCTTTTTTTAAGCGAAAAATTGGTTGAGATATTCTAGCGGTTTTTCATGGAAATTGATAATTTTAAACTGCGGCAACTGGAGGCTTTATGTAGTAGCGACACGGAAGAAAATTGACAGAAATTTATCACTTAGACAAAAACGACGATATCTTCCTTTAAACCTTTATGGACATTAAAGTTTTGTTAACAAGTTGACAGTCTTCATAAGGTAATGTATTTATTGCTTATTTGCAGTGCTTAGGATCCATTAAATTTTGATGCGGATGTGGATCCTGGTCATGAACATTTCTACAAGATTTACGGATTTTTATCCAGAAGAAAAATTCTTAATTTATTTTTCTTCGCAAATTTTTATAGATATGAAAATAATTATTAATCTCTCTTTTTTCAACAGTTTAAATGTGGGTTTGAGAGCTACAGATTTTTTACAGTTATTTGTTGATATTTAAACCATGGAATCCTTGATCCAGGAAGCAAAACGTTGCGGATCCAACGGATCCGGATCCTATATAAGCACTGCTTCTTTGTTAAGGTTATCTGCTGAAACCGCATGTGATGTGTCGTGATGACGTGAAGTTAGATCCGTTTACCCAAAGTTCAGTTGATAACATAGTTCCAGCCACACTCTCCATTCAAATCCTCTCCGGACAGTTCCTCACGGATAAGCATGTTGGCACATTTGTAGAGGTTAGTAGTGAAGACCACATTTATCCCGTTTTTTAATTCTCGCCTTTTTTTGGTTTTCCAAAGCCCCACAAAAATCTGAGAAGCTTTTACAATTGTTAAAAATAGGATATTTTTCTTTCGTAACATTGACGATTGATTTATTTCTTTGATCTATTGTATTACTGATTCATTGATTTATTGAATGTTTGTCGGAAAGTTGTTAGATTAGATGCTGAATTAATTGAATGAAGTGATTGATTAATCAATTGTTAGATTGATTAATTGGATTAGATGATGAATTAGTCGATTGATTGATTGATTGCTTACATTATTGATTAATTGATTGTTTAGGTTGAGATGTATGGTCTACCCTGTGATATTGTGAGAAGAGAGAAGAAGTTTAAAACTAGAACTTCTCTGAACGGTCTTAATCCGACCTTTAGGCAATCATCAGTTTAATCATTGGATTAATCATCAGCTAAATCCCAGCTTCATCCTCAGCTTAACTCTGACTTTTCATTATTTTTTGCTTCATTGGAAGCTCTTACTAATTCGCTATTAGTGTGATAAAATTATATTTTTATACTGGTAGTTTTTATTTTGCTAAATTATCATTACCCTCGGGAAAAAAACTCTTGTTTGGATGTTATTGCCAAATTGAAGGGNCTGATAATTGTTTAAAGTGAGGAACCCTTCGTATTCCGTCAAATAATCCTGCCAGACCTCGCGGTTCTAAGGATAGCAGCATACGAGGAGTCAGGGAACAAGCTCATAGGACATAGAGTTCTGCCTCTCATAGGACTTTGTCCTGGCTACCGACATATTCCACTCTTCAACGAATCAGGTAAACAAGGGTGTATATTCTCTAGAAAATTATTCCACCTTCCCCCCCCCCGCAATTTTGCAAATTATTTTTTACGTATATTTTTTTAAGGGTTTCTATCCCTGAATTGGGAAAACAAATGAAATTTTGAATAAAAATTATCAAAAAGAATGAAATAACTTGCATTATGATTTCAAACTAATAATTTTTTTCCTAATCCTATAAAATCGTTTTTCTAAAAAATATACGGGGTGTAAATAGAATTATTTTAAGCACATTAGAACCACTTGATACACTAGAAGTATCTTTCTGTCGTAGCGCAATAGCCGTGGGGGGGGGGGGATAATTGGTAGAATGTTTTAATTCCGAATTTTTTAACAAAATTCGTCTCAACTAAATTTTGATATGTTTAAAATAGAAATCCATCAATAAAACGGGAAAATCGGTAAGATTTTACACTGTTATTTTTTATTCATGTTTCAAAAACATGGTTATCGTTAAAGAAAGCAATGGTAGGATAGTTTCTAATTATATTTTATTCGGTGTAGGTCAGCCCCTCCACCTGCCATGCCTGTTTGTGAATATAGAAGTGAAGGACTATGTACCGACCAGATATAACGGGATAGCAGAGGCTCTAGCCAACCCTATCAAATATCAACAGGATATACTCACAGAGAGGGCACTAGCACTAGAAGCTCTGGAGGATGAGGTGAGTGAATGGTTTGGTGGTTGGTTGGTTGGTTGGGTGGTTGGTTGGTTGCTTGCTTGCTTGCTTGCTTGGATGGTTGGTTGGGTAGATGGTTGGTTGGATGGTTTCGGTGATTGGATGGTTTGTTGGTTTAATGGTTGGTTAGATGGTTCGTTGGTTGGTTGATGAATAGTTTGTTGGTTGGTTGATAGGTTGATTTAATTTGATTGATTTACTTACTTCTTACTTCTCTGATTTGGTTGGTTGCTTGGTTGGATGGACAGATGGATGGTTCGTTGCAGGTTGGTTGGTTGCTTGGTTCGTTGGTTGCTTGGTTGGTTGGTTGGTGCTTTGCTTGGTTGGTTGCTTGGTTGGTTAGTTAGTTAATTAGTTGGTTGATTGGATGGGTGGTTTCTCGGTAAAAACATATTTTGTTATTTTTCATGTTGTAATGGCAAGTTTTCCTTAAGATTTTTCATTCCAAATTAATTTTGATCTGTTACATCCTAGATTCCTCCTTTGTTTTCCAATCAAGATGGCGGCGAATCTACCCCAGAGGGATGCACTAGTCCCAGCAAATCCACTTTAGGTTAGTTAAACTTTATTATCTGAGAATAACGGGACTACAGGCCTAATAAAAAGTAATTTTACAATTCCTATTTTTTAAATTAATTATTTTTAATTCGGGTTTCTCTGTAAAAAGCGACTTTCGAATTTCTTGCAGCAGAAATGGCGACAGTGAGAATTGATCCTTTTTTAAAGAGATAGAAAAGGGCACGATCTGTTTTATATTATTGATTAGGCAAAGGTTTAAAGGGTTCTGTTGTAAATCGGGCATAGCCCTTTGTAAATTGGGGGCCATCGGAAATTACAACTACAGTTCTTATTTCTAACATATTTTTTTACAGATATTTTTATTACTATTTTTTTCATTTAACAACTATTATGATTTTTTTTTAATTATTGGGTACAGATCGTACAGAAATATTCTATTTCTTTTTTCTTGTCATCTTATTTTCCGTTTGTTCTTTTGTTGACGGTCCCTTCCAGCAATTTTGAAGAAAAGATTTTTTATCAGAACTTCTTACTCAGCTCAGATCTGTCTATACTCTTGACTAACTAGCTCGTAAACACCCTGTCAGGCTTTTCTTTTATCTAAACACCAAATCCGCATTATTGTTTCATGTCTAATGCAACACATGTGCACACATTCAAAGTATTTATTCCACATTATTTAATAACTGAAAAAGGTATTTCCAATGGTGTTTCCAATCGCTAAGGGTAAGATTGATAGTCTAAAGCTTTCATCAGAGTTCCTTTCCATTTTTTAGATTTCCTTTTTTATTCTTGTAAAAATAGATCTGATAATTTCGTCTTGTGATCAGACAAAAAAAATGGAGCCCACAGCCTCTGCTCACTGAGTGATCAGACTACTGATTAGAATAGGTTGTGAAGAACACTGATCTTGATCTACCTAGAGATGCAGCGCACATTGCGCCTTTTATCTTAAACAGGCAAGAGAGCTCCGGGCTGACACCCTTCCACTGGGAGGGTCGGATTCACACTGTATTTCTAACAGATAATATATTGGATTGTTTAAGAAATGTTGAAGCGGACTGGGAGCAGTAAACCTGGGAAGGATGGATCTCCTCAGCTTGGTAGTCCGCACAGAACTAGCAGCAATAAGAGCATAGCTTCTAAAGGTGATAATGATGATAATGATGGTAATGATGGTAATGATGGTAATGATGGTAATGATGGTTATGATGGTTATGATGGTTATGATGGTTATTGTGCCATTTTCAAGGTCTAGGATAGAACCAAGAATACCAATACCTTAGATCCACAGGTATTCATACTATTAACATTAAGATGGGCATACATCTTTCACCAGCGCACCTCGTTTATACACTAGAGTCTTGCTTAATCTTATTTATTTAGTCTAAAGATACAGGAACAAGAGCTCTAAGCCGTGAAAAAAGTTGATTAGGCCGGAGGTTAATAGCTCTTTAGATCTTAGCCAACATATCTCGTACACAACTATTGTTATCCCGACAGAGACTGGGGAATAGAAGGTACAGGTAAGATCAGCTTAAAAGTTACAGGACTTGATCTAGCACTCAGGGTTGATAGGGGAGATATCTTATAATTCAGCTTTATCTTCAAGCTGTTGGGTTCGGAGAGAAGTGTAGTTCTACTTCATCCAAGGAGAGATGGCAGCTACGGCGGAGAGATGGCAGCTACGGCGGAGAGATGGTAGCAGCGGCGGAGAGATGGCAGCTACTGCAGGTTTGTGATGACGAGGATCTGAGCAGCAACTCAGATCAGAGGAACCAGGCTTATCTGTTTATATTTAAAGTTCAGAGTTCAGGTAGAACAGGTGGTAGCACATTTAAAGTTCAGAGTTCAGGTAGAACAGGTGGTAGCACGAGATTATTGACTGAATTCACTTGAGTGCACAACCTGGAGCTAACAGGACATTAATTGGATAAAATATAGGCTATCCCATTATGTTCTCTGTTAGAAGTGAATCAAGCGTTAAACTAGCTTGGTCGTTTTAGAAATAGACCTTGAGACTATATATAGGTTTAAATGCAGGATATTTAAGATAAACTTTTAATTACAGATTATGTATAAAATTCTTGTTCTCAGATTAAAAAGTCCAATAAATATTGTTTTCAGGATAAAACTCATAATTGTAGAATAAATATTTGTAGGTTATAATTTCAGAATCTTGACAACTTGTGTAGAAACATTTGTAGAGTCTCGTGCTTCGTGAATCAACCTGAACAATAGACATAGAAAGATCTCTAGATCTTACACTGCCCGGAAGAAAGGAAGTTCAGTGTTGAATTCAAGCTTAGGTTTAGTTTATAGATTTGAACTTTGAACACAACAATCTCCTTATTTCTGATCTCGAATATTGGATTCTGCGTTTCACTATGAAGGGTATATATTTTCACTAGTTAAACTTCGTTTATTTGAGAATTCACAATATGTCACGTTTGTACTTGAGATTCAGAACCTGAAAAAGAAAATCACAGGTCCGAGTCAGGGCCCTGGACAGCTTCCTGGGCGGCCTGCTCTAGGACTTGGTAGAGGTCCAGCTCGCTCTCTCGGTGGACTACGACGACAGTCCTCACGCTCCTCCTAGTCTTTCGGAAGGTTTTCTCCCCAGGATTTCGGTACTCCAGGGTTGCAGTACGAGAGAGTCCATCTTCAGAGACGTCAACAATCAGGACTCGGGCGATTCTCCAGACAGGATCCCCTAGACGATGTTCAGCATCAGACTTCAGAAAGATGACAATATCACCTTCCTTGAGTTGCTCGTTGGTTCTTTTCCACTTAGAAGGTTGTGGGATGAAGTCTACCAGTTTCTCGTTTCTCCACACGTCCCACCAGGCATCGAAAACTTTGTCCATCTGTTCAATCAGCCGTGAAGGTGTAGAGATTCTGGCATATCCCGAGAGAGCCCGACGGTTGTTTCGTCCAAGTATAAGACGACTTGGAGTAATCAAATCCACATGATCAAGATTCTCAACACGAGATCCAAGGCAGATAGGCAGGTTGTTGAGTTCGGAGGCAATCCAGGCAAAGCAGGTCTCGGTGGAGAGGATATCGAGTTTAAGTCCTTTGTATACTTTGTTGAGAAGGGTTTTTATTTCCTTGATAGAGCGTTCAACCATCCCATGAGCATTGTGGCTGGCTACAGCACAGGTAGAGAATGTGATTCCAACTTGATGATTTATTGAGAGAAAATCAGTGATATCCAAGATAGAGAGTTCCATATTTCTGCAGGCGGAGAGAAGTTGGCTTCCTTCATCAATACGGAGCTCAGTAGGATGACCGTACCTTGAGGAAAATCTTGTATATGCCTGGAGAAAAGCAGCAGTAGAATAATCTTGCATAACATATATAGCTACAGCACAGCTAGCAGGATC